GCTTCTGATGTTCTACCTACACCAAGGACAGTGCAATATGAACTCTTGTGTCTACTGGGAAGCTTACTATACTTTTTTAGTAAATGTGCTAGGGGTTTTAGCCCCCCCCCCCCCCCCCCCCCCCCCCCCCCCCCCCCCCCCGATTAGTATCTCCCCACCTCCACACTTGTTTTCCACCCTTTTCAATTTAATTCTCTTCCTAAGCGTTTGTTGATACAGATAATGCTTTCAATATATTGTTACATGTATTGCCATTTAGCACATTATTATAGAAAACAACAGCATCCAAAAAAAAAAGAACAAGCCAAAAATGGGTACGAGGTAATGATGTGGGAGGTAAAAGCAGCCGGATGATTCGGGACTACATCACCCAACGAGTGCAATTGATCTTTGCCAATATGAAATATCACACACCCATTCGACATTGGCCAAGCAGCGTACATTGCTTCACTTACTTCAGCAACGCTTCACGCCCGTTACTTGTGATCAGTGTCAACATCATATCGGACCAACCCGTCAATGCCTCGTTCTTCGACGTAGCAGCCCTCACAGTGTCTTCAGACTCAACGAACCCAAAAAGAGTTGACTGACCTCTGCCACAGTGTCTCCATTCACACCGAGCCAGAAGGAGATGACTGACCTCTGCCACAGTGTCTCCAGACTCACCGAACCCAGAAGGAGTTGATTGACCTCCGCCACAGTGTCTCCAGACTCACCGAACCCAGAAGGAGTTGACTGACCTCCGCCACAGTGTCTCCATTCACACCGAGCCGGAAGGAGATGACTGACCTCCGCCACAGTGTCTCCATTCACACCGAGCCAGAAAGAGATGACTGACCTCCGCCACAGTGTCTCCATACACACCGAGCAAGAAGGAGATGACTGACCTCCGCCACAGTGTCTCCATACACACCGAGTGAGAATGATATGACTGACCTCCGCCACAGTGTCTCCAGACTCACCGAACCCAGAAGGAGTTGATTGACCTCCGCCACAGTGTCTTCAGGCTCAATGAACCCAGAAGGAGTTGATTGACCTCCGACACAGTGTCTCCAAGCTCAATGAACCCAGAAGGCTTGGCCTATCTTCTTTCTATGCTCCCCAACCGGTTTCTGCAGAAATGTTCTCGTTTAATACTTATTTCTAACAGGAGGTTCATCGTCACCGACTCCTTTGTCACAGCGTCTGTGGAACGTGGTGCATTCAGTAAGTCTGCCCTGTCCATTCTTTTTTTTTCCACCAACAATTGCAGACATGGCTGTTCTTTCGGCCCTTTCTTTGTATTTTACTTGACCTTCTCCGGGTGTGTATTGTCAATATAGTTTCTTTTACGAACACTTCATACACACACTTCATACACACACTTCATACACACACTTCATACACATACTTCTTACATACACTTCATACATACTGAGCCAGTGGCGTTAAATGTGTCTGTTTCTCTTTATTCAAACATCTACAAAGCTTGAGGAAGCCGGTATAGAGAGAGAAAACAAATGACTACACACAGACAAGTTCATTAGCAAGGTTAGTGAGTTTAGTTTGGTGGACTCTTACCGCTGCAAATTCTCCCTTCAGAGGCTCGTTTTCTGGATCAGGTGTTTTGTAGAAGTACACCAGCACAGCATCTTTGGTCTTCAGAAACTCCATGAAGTTGTTTGGATGCAGTCCAGCCACATTAGAAGAGTTGATGAAGGGGTCCGGATCAACTATAATAATAGAATTTTCTTTCTGAAGTAAAGATTCACCCATATCTGTGAAAACTCTGTATGTGTAGATCCCGTGTGTTGTTCAGAAGTTTGACGGTGTGGAAGCAGTCGTTTGGTAGAAGAGAGGGGATCGATTCTCTACTGTTATCATGTAATGTGTAATTTTAAAGACAATTGGAGAGAAGACCGTTTCCGGATCCGACAGTCCAAGGTCAACAGTTTCAAATCATGCGTCACAGTGGTAACAAATACATACACAAGATGGTGCGACTTCGTGCACATACAATGTGATCATTGCTGTCAACTTTCACCAGTTCAATCAACCAGCCTAGGAAGATCATCATCACCATCATCAGGTGCCTTGCCGACTGGCGTAGGCAATCATGCCTCTCTATAATCCACGATCTCCTGCAGCATGTATTAGTTCGTGTGCCGACACACCTCCATGCCATGCAACAAGACTCAAGAATATTCTCCCGTTGTCTTCCTCTATCCCTCCTTCCACAGATCTTTCCAGTGGTCACAGCATGTTCTATTTTCCCTCTTCTCATAACATGGCCGAAAAATGATGACTTTTTAATTCTGATGTGTGTGATAATTTGTCTTCCGGCTCCCGCCTGTTTCAAAACCTCGTGTTCGCTCTTTTTGGCTGTCAAAGGTATTCTAAGCATTGCTCAGTAAAGCCATATCTCTGGCGCCTCAAGAAATTGTTTGTCCTGCCTACCGATTGTCCAGGATTCACAACAATATGTTCAAACTGGATGTATGTAGCACAGTATGTAGGAAGATAACCCAGCCAAAAACGAAGTCCCCGATAAAGTCGGATGTGTCTGCCGAAAGACTCGAATAGCACAACTTTGCTGTCAACAGACACAGCGCAATGACGCCACGAACAAAAAGGAGAAAAGGAAGAATCACACTCGCCAGGTGTCTTCTCTGTAGGCAAGTTAATTAGATCGTCGACGATTTTTTTTTTTACATGATCAAACGGTCAACCTATTAATGACTCTGATATTAATAATTCCCTCTGAGAAATAGAAAGGGTGGAGGACTTTGGGGGGCAATGAATTCAAATCAGTCCCCAGAAAAATAGAATGGAGTTTAGATCGGCATAGCAAAAAACTAGAGAGGCGCACGAGGCGCAGATGAGGATTTGTTAATCAACACACAACTGGTACTATTAGCCACTGGATGCTAGGGTTTATACTGTCGAGGTTCTGAGCACCTATGGACATGTCCGGAGGGCTATGAAGATAACGCAACTAATTAACATGGTGAGTTAGGAGGCTGTTCACCAGCACAGCGACCAATGGCTTCTGTACTTCAAGACGGGAACCTGTATGCTGGACTGTCGAGATGATGAGTTAGTTCTGTCTCCATCTTCACTAGATAGCGCAGACTTCTATTTCCTCTCTTCATCTTCACTAGATAGCGCAGACTTCTATTTCCTCTCTCCATCTTCACTAGATAGCGCAGACTTCTATTTCCTCTCTCCATCTTCACTAGATAGCGCAGAGTTATATTTCCTCTCTCCATCTTCACTAGATAGCGCAGAGTTCTATTTCCTCTCTCCATCTTCACTAGATAGCGCAGAGTTCTATTTCCACTAGTTCTTTTTTGCATTCCGTGTCGCATCTCCTCTACGTGCTATGGGGGTGAAAGTGGTACTAAAACAGACACCGGGAAATGATACCAGAAGTGATTGACACTTTACTGGTTTGTGTCAGTGGGGTGGCTATGGGAAATAGGGGGAAAAGAGGGGGGGGGGTAAGGAGTAGGGGGACTAAAACACAATCATCGAAACGACAGTGAAAAAGAGGTTGTTTATGTTTACAAATGGAGCAAAAAAAATGCAAAACAGCCAACAGATATAGTATGTGTATTATGATGCTTTGTACTGGACACCCATTTGAGGAGCTTGTAAACCCACAGAGTGCTAATCACGTGTATCGATTCTTGCCAGTACTCACTGTGTTTTACGTTATGTTCCACTTGTAAAATCGGTTGTGTTTTGATTGTGCGTTTTAGACGTCACGCCCCTACATTTTGACAAATATCTCAAAAACACTTGTTCGGATAAACGAAGAAGATTATATTGTTGCCTTAGATTGCCAAGGTCATTATGATGTTATAATTAACAATTGCACAGGTGGTGCTGTTTTACTAAAGCGACAAATTTCTTTGAAGTCTGTTTGACATATAATGTTGGTACCCCTAAAAACTATAATCCACAGGGCGATTGTTTTGATAACATGCAAAAAAAAAAATCCACAACCGACAGGACACCAGTGTGGACATAACCACATGTGAGTGGAACGCCTGCAATTTGATGGTTTGAAACGTTTCCATAAGTCAACTGTAAGCGTGCCAGTTGTTTGCTTCGAATCCATGTCCGTTTTTACCTATATTCCACACACACACACACACACACACACACACACACACACAGACACACACACACACACACAAAGGCACAATCAAAACTAGATGTTTGTTTACATAGAAGAATACATATAAACGTAACACCGAACGGTACAGAGTTCAGGGTGTGTAAAGTTGGGGACGAATGTTAGAACGGACTGTAGCAGATGGTGAGCAATTAAAATTGTATAATTATTTAGTATTTGTTGTCATTAACACAACCAACAAATTGATCCGAACACAAAACTAACTCAGTGGTACTTATTCTCTCCAGAATAAGGCGCAACTGACATCAAAAAACAGTATGTATTTTGACGGAAATTTATTTTATAAAGTAAAATTTGCATTTTCATTATTGTTGGAAATTTAAAAAAAAAACATTATTAAAAAACTCCGACATCTCTGACTAAACGGACACCGCAAAATGACAGCCTCTTTATTTGGGCACTTTCATCTTATCACTCCAACTTTATAATGGACTGTTTCTAACGCAGGTAGCTTAACAATATGAAAGCAAATTGCAGTTTGCTACGAGAGAAAGCTAGATCCTAATTATCTATGTCCACAATCTAATATATGAAAAAAAAAATATTACTAACGAATACTATACAATAAGTCTGCGCTGGATTAACCGTATTTGATGCAAAGATACACACTGATACATCATGTATTTCAACACCCCATTAAGCTGCGAAATGCCACACTGAATACCTTATAAAAAATTTGGAATACATTGATAAATGGATGTACATTGGTGTGTGTATATGCCGCTTCTCTCATACCCTCTGGTAAGTTAACGGTTGAGGAGAGTTGGGACACCGATTTTGTGCACACCAGATGAATATATAGATCTTTGGACTTGGGTTTTTACATATTTGGCAAGCCCCTTGATTTTCTCTGTGAGGATTCTGAGAATTCAGACGACTTTCTTTTTGGCGACACGTTTATCTGTGGAGGTTTTCTCCCAGGTGATTTAATGCCTTGCAGTGTTTTCTTGGCTAGAGCCAACCTGCCATAGCCCTTTAGTTTGGGATCGTTGTAGATAGGCGCCTGCTCCATGAAAAAACGCAGGTCGTCCTTGACAAACTCTTTGCTCTCAACCAGCCCCGAGTCGATTTTGATGCCTCGGGAGTAGTAGGCCACAAATGGGGTGAAGGTGATACCAAACGCGGTACACAGCTCGGGCTCCAGGGTACAGTCCACGGCCGCATAGGCGTGATTCTCTCGTTTTGTGGAAGATGCACTCTGGCAGAGAAAAAGTTGATGGTCAGTGATGTCACAAGTGATAAAACAAAAATAATGGTTAGAGATCGTGGCAAGATAAAAAGAGACCAGAGTTCGACGCCAGTAACCTGGTGGAGATTTTTTATTTTTTTTTTTGTCATGGAAAAAGAGAACACCAGAATCAACATCCTATCCTGCACAGACAAATACAAGATAAGTTATAATAATGACCCTTCTGTGGTGTGTCAAAAATATCATGTTAGGCTAAGGTTATTTGTTTAAATCTTACATAGTTCATGGGCGGGGGAGGGAAGAAAGGGGGGGGGGGGTCAACATCCTGCCGGCTATCTTTTCTTCAAAGGACATTTCCTTTTTTTTGTTTGGTTCTCTTTAGTTGGGTCGACCAGACAGCAGAAGTTAGTTTTATATATATATATATATATATATATATATATATATATATATATATATATATATATATGTGTGTGTGTGTGTGTGTGTGTGTGTGTGTGTATGTACACACACACACACACACACACCAAATATATTCCGGTATGTAAACGAACTCAAGCACTTCTTAAGGGCAAGCAAGCGTCTCGCCACTGCTGCTACTGTGGTCCATCTGACAACTGTATATGGTGGGGAAACAACCAGTTTGTGGTAATACTGCATATCCACGGAGAACCACACACAAAAAAAGCACTCGTCAGACCAAAAGAAGAGGTTCCCAAGGGGCTGGCAGTTGCCAATTCTTTATAGGACGTTGCAGAACCGACACTCCGCGTGTTGTTGCAATGTGGCAAATTTTCACACGGGGATTCTCTGATTAAGAAGGTTGGTGGGTGGGGGGGGGGGGGGGGGTCGAGGGTCACCATTCAACCGAGAGAAGTCAGACACTCGGAAAAAAAGAGGTTCTTAAGTGGGAGAACGACCACATGTTACCACGTGCAAACCAAGGTGAACGACCACTTGTCGCCATGTGACCTAACACTTAGTTATAAGATCCGACAACGTTCTGATTAGACAGTATGTGTTAGACCGTTGCAATGAGAGGGTGTGTGTGTGATCCAGTGAGAATGGGAAGAATCCTTGTCAACGTGAAAGTGATTGCTTCAAGTCGATAACTCGACTACAACATTCATCAAATTTAAGTCGACCCGACTCAGTTGCGGGAAAACAGGAAAGCAGTGACGGGAGTTATCCATGCTTAGATGTTGAAGCGAAGACGGAGACCTCCAATTGTGTGAATGCGTCACGATTCAATGATTTGGTGTCTGAACGATCTGTTGCTCGAACGCTGTGCTTGTTGAGTAGGACACGGATTGGACATATTGTGTAGGTGCTCAAATGTGAATAAACAGTTATGTATCATGGAGATGGTGTCTACTTATAATATATGTTTCATCGTAGAGTGTGAGTCATACCATCAGAGTACAACCCCTGGAGAACATCCAAGGACCGATCAGACAACATTGCGCGCACACACACACACACACACACACACACACATATATATATATATATATATATATTCCGGTATGTATTCGAACACACGCACTTCGGGTGGGCAAGTAAGCGTTTAGCCACTGCGCTACTGTTGCCCCTCTGACAACTGTATATGGCGGGGAGACAACCAGCTCGTGGATATAATGCATCTCCACAGACGACCACACACACACACACACACACACACATATACACACACACAAAATACCAGTCAAAGACCAAATGAAGAGGTTCTCAAGGCGCTGGTAGTTGCCCATCCTGTATAGGACTTTGCAGAATCGACCCTCCGAACGTTGATTTTGTTTGTTTGTGTTTTCACGTAGTCATTTTACATTGAACAGTTTGCCATATTTAGTAATCAGTCAGCTCTTGTTGAAATCAAAGCAATGCTGTCTGCTGCCTAATCACATGTAACTAGGACTGCGCTCGGCGGCGCGGAATTACGACACATGTTAGCAACGCCTACGTTTTGTTTGCAGCAAAAATCAATTCATTTTAACACCTATATTAGAGGGGCGTAGAAAGTGAGTTATGAATAATTCAACTAAACAAACCTTACCGATGTATAATGTTTCTTGATCTCGCTAATATCCTTGTCATGAGGGCAATAGAATAGTACCAGCACGGCAGCCTTCCTCATGAGGAACTCCCTGGAGTTAAGAGCATTCAAACTGTACACGAAATCAGAGCCAAAAAAGGGGTCAGGGCTGACAGTAAGACCGTGAGTCCTAACAGCCGGAATCTTTACAGTTTTATGACTCTGTGTGTTCGTCACTGGCAGAGAGGAGCTCGTGGCTGTGGCATCTGGTAATCTTGGGGGAGATGACAGTTGCTTGGATGTTTGAGTGTGCCGTCTGGCGGTCGGGAACTTCTTTAGCAGCTGAAATCGAGTAGGTTGCCCAGAAAAGAGCGGCTTCATGTCTGGATACTCTTGAAGAGACTGCCAGTAAGGTTTGTTAAGTTGCACTGACGAAGTGTTTGTTGGTGCAATTATCTGTGCCTCAGGTGCCGACATTTTGCAAGTTAACTGTGCAGAAATAGTTTCTTCAATGGCCCACGAAATCCAAAATACGTGACTAGAATATTGGGGAGCTGTTAAAACTCTAGACTTTAAGGTGGGGAGAGAGGGGGGGGGGGAGAGAAATGAATGATGAATAGTTATTTAAAAAACACTTAAATCCCTATCATCATAGTTATCGCCATCATCATCATAACCATCTTCGTCGTCTTCATAAGCATTGTTTTCAACATCATAGGTATATCGCAACCTGACACTTTTCATTATACATCTTGAGATAGTGTGATCTCTAAGTGAATATCTACTTGATCCACACAGTGAGTTGAGAGACAGTCCTGTCAAATGTGCGATCGTGGATTTTATCTAGTATGTTACGGCAGTCAATACAGATTTTTATAAAAATCATAGAATATAGAAACTGCTCTTTGAAATCCTATGCAGCTCTTTCTCAAACACAAACAAACACACACTCAAACAAAAAAAGACTAAGACAGACACACACACATACAGAGAGAGAGAGAGAGAGAGAGAGAGAGAGAGAGAGAGAAAGAAATTGTGTGTCTGATTTGCTGTTTACATGCTGATCTTGTAAAATCCGTGTTTCTTTTAACGCGGATGTTTATTCAGAAGTTGACTGTCACTGTTTAATGGTCTCTGAGTCAGCTCTGAGGCATCAGAGTCCACGTAGCGGAGCTTTTAAAAATGTCCATGTTGCCTACACACGTTTCTAAAACAAACGACATTGTAATTAAATACACTGGGAAACCATGTTTTTTTTTTTTCTTTTATTTCACAACAGCTTGGGTACTCCGCATTTTTTCTGAGGAATACCGGCGACAATCCAATAGTAGAGGGGTGTGAGGTGTAAAATAGACACTGTCTAACCCCACTCCCATCCCGTAAAATATTAAACTTTCTAGAGAACTCCCGACTAAATCTCGGAGTAACCGAGAATTGGTGAAATAAAAGAGAAGGACAACAAACTAGACTTTAAACTAACTCCAATAAAGAGATACGGCCACAGGTATAACTTGTTTAGCGGTTTACGTTCGCGCTGCCGTGACCTGTCTTAACACTGCAGTCGAGACACAGATCTGAAAGCTCTGTCCTGGAGTTTTATCCGTTTTGTTAAAATTTTTGTTTTGTTTCTGTTTATGGTTCCGGACTTGACGTTCAACCCGGACATGTTACCAGGCCTTCCTTGGCTTTATGTTAAGACCCTACCAGCTCTAACTCAAATACATCTTATGTTCAATCAATCAGTCAGATGCCATCCTCTGTGATGCCCTGTCTGCTGCCAATCTTGTTGCATAGTCAAACCGTTTAAATATATCTGACATATATCATACATCGAATTACCTGATGGTTTTATACTTTGAAATTTTGCCTATCGTTTTGAAGCCATAATTGTTTAGATAAAGGAACACCTAGGTCACATTGACTGGTGTGTTTTTTTAACACCCGCTAGATAGCTTATCTGTGTCAAACAATTACTTTGTGGCTTCTTGCGGGCGCCATTTCTGAAAACTAACGATATGAGAAAGTGTGCAAAAGCACAACTCGATGACGTCATTTCCACCAGTATTACCTACCGGTAGGAATGTGTGTTTGTTGTGGAGTATGCGTGTACATCATCCATCATGTAGCAGGTCCTTTGCAGAACGTCGCTTGCATCACAGTGTGCCTAAAAGAAACTCGGCCATTCTCCCGCCTCATGTACTTTCATACCAAGGAGTCACGTATATCCTGTGCCCATTTGTGTGGTGTTCGGTCCCTGCCCTTCTTTCCTGGTACCCTGTCTTCTGCTATAAATTTTTTTCCAATCAGTCGTGGCGCTTGATATGACCAAAATATTTCAGCTTCGGGAGATATGATGCTGTTTATTAGCCAATCTTCCTTGATGTTCAGATCTTTTAAGATGTCAATATTTCTCCTCTTCTTTGTCCAAGATATTCTGAGAAACTTTCTACAGCATTACAGCTCAAAAGCCCCTATTCTATATGCGTGTAAATGAAAAAAATAAAAACTATGTGTCAATGGCAGAAAACTGTAGAAAACGTAGCAAATGCTGTCAAAGATTGGTAGGGAGCGCAGATGTTTATATCAAGTTTGAACTAAACTCAGCAAAGAAAGGACATTCTGGTGCACAGAGAATGGCGCTGCGAGAAGTTACCAGGGGATCTGGCTAACTGTCAACACTCTGGGCAGGAAAAAGACAGATATACAATCTGATGGCTACTGGTGCTGGCGGAATTTGAACTCTTCGCTTTCTGCTAAAGATTGGGACGGAGCGCTTAAGGGAGTGTATCGAGGGTTGTGGTGTCGACTCTTAATTCAACAGTCCACAATGCAAGGCTTTGCGCGGTAAGTTGAAATTACGAGTCGGACTCGCAACGCCTAAGCCACGGAGACTTTTGATCTAAAATGACTCATTAGCTGGGGGGGGGGAGGGGGGGGGAGGGGGGGGGGAAGGGGTTAATAGTTTTTTTTTAAACATTACTCTATGATGTTTCAACAAGAATAAGCACACTGTCAGCCCATAAGTGTCGTAAGAGACGACTAACTGTGAACTTCCTTAAGTCGGAGTTTATCTCCCTAAAAGGCAAGGAAAGGAAACAGCATTATGTAAACAAATCGGTCCGAGCTGTTGGATGTGTTTGCACGCAAACCTCCGGTTCTGGAACAAGTCGAAAGTCCAGAGGTGGACGAAATACCAAAACTTTCCACCATAGTTTACAATCAGTCATCACCAAGAAAAAGAACTTATAAAATTTACAATAAATTTACTGCAAACATAAGCGTGCACACATGGGCGCCGTGTGTGAACGCACGTGTGATGTCATACAAGGCGACTGTCCTTGTGTGATTTCAAACTTGAGCAGGTCGGACAACGGCCTGGACAGTACAGTTGCCGGACAGACAATCGGACATCCTGCAGCCCTTGTATCCCCACAGAGCCCATATTTGTGGCTACTGGCGTCCATATTGCCAAACGAAAAAGACAAACTAGGTACTTCTATTTTCACCTGGATTGCTGTAGCCTATGCTACAGCAAGATTTTAGTGAGATGTCCGACTTTTCTGCCCGCTCTTCGGCGTATCCTCCATCGCCACCTGCGGATTATTCTATGATGTCTGAAGACATGGACGACTACGCCTCAGAGCAAGATCCCACAGAGCAGGAGGTGAGCATTGAGAATCCGGATGATGTTCCAGCTCACGATTTCTTCTTCGATTCCCAGAAGGTGCTCAGTCTCAACAGCAATAACTTCAGCACATTTCTCACCCGCAAGGACGCATCTTTGGTCATGTTCTACAATGAGCGCTTCCCGGAGAGCCAAGTATTTCAGACAATATTTTCAGAGGTAAGAAATTTTATAAACACGAAAGATTATTGTAATATTTTTGGGGGGAAAGATCTTCGCCTTTCTGATGTGCGCGTTTTATGGCATTGCTACAAAATATTGACTCTGTTTATTCAACAACAACAAAAAATTAAAACATATTCGTAGGTAGCCCTGCTCTAGACATGCCAGTTATCGTAACTATCGTAGAAGGCTAAACATTTGGTCTCATATTATTTTCCAGAGTTCTATGATGATGGCTATGTCCCCGATTGTGGGTCGATTGGCTCACACAGCAATGACATGCCTGGTGATACGATTTGAATGAAGTTTTAATTATGCTGATTACATAGAATAGGCGATAATAAAAGCCAAGCCAGGCTTGACTGCAATGAGAGCGATGGCTGCAGCAAACTATGAGCAGCTTCATGCATGTATTATGTGTCAGGACTGTGAGCAGCTTCACGTATAGCTTCTGTGTCAGGACTGTGAGCAGCTTAACGTATGTCCTCTGTGTCAGGATTGTGAGCAGCTTCACGTATAGCTTCTGTGTCAGGACTGTGAGCAGCTTCACGTATAGCTTCTGTGTCAGGACTGTGAGCAGCTTCACGTATAGCTTCTGTGTCAGGACTGTGAGCAGCTTCACGTATAGCTTCTGTGTCAGGACTGTGAGCAGCTTCACGTATAGCTTCTGTGTCAGGACTGTGAGCAGCTTATCGCATGTCTTCTGTGTCAGGACTGTGAGCAGCTCATCGCATGTCTTCTGTGTCAGGACTGTGAGCAGCTTATCGCATGTCTTCTGTGTCAGGATTGTGAGCAGCTTCACGTATATCTTCTGTGTCAGGATTGTGAGCTACTTCACGTATATCTTCTGTGTCAGGATTGTGAACAGCTTAACGTATATCTTTTGTGTCAGGATTGTGAGCAGCTTCACGTATAGCTTCTGTGTCAGGACTGTGAGCAGCTCCACGTATGTCTTCTGTGTCAGGACTGTGAGCAGCTTCACGTATAGCTTCTGTGTCAGGACTGTGAGCAGCTTCACGTATAGCTTCTGTGTCAGGACTGTGAGCAGCTTATCGCATGTCTTCTGTGTCAGGACTGTGAGCAGCTCATCGCATGTCTTCTGTGTCAGGACTGTGAGCAGCTTATCGCATGTCTTCTGTGTCAGGATTGTGAGCAGCTTCACGTATATCTTCTGTGTCAGGATTGTGAGCTACTTCACGTATATCTTCTGTGTCAGGATTGTGAACAGCTTAACGTATATCTTTTGTGTCAGGATTGTGAGCAGCTTCACGTATAGCTTCTGTGTCAGGACTGTGAGCAGCTCCACGTATGTCTTCTGTGTCAGGACTGTGAACAGCTTCACGTATGTCTTCTGTATCAGGATTGTACTTTACGTTCTCGAGTATGCGATGGTGATCCTAACACTCAGCAGAAAGAAGATGGAGACTATGGACAGGAAGCTACAGGTTTACGTGTGTTTACATCACATACATCATGCAGGGCGATGCGCTATCTTCATGATTCGTCATCCGTGGAGGAACGAATTCATAAATTCCTAGCACATGCCGGCCTCGGTGTCAACGCAGACACACGACAGCCGCTATAGAAATTAGGAACAAAGGCAGCAGGTCTAAAAGTGGAAAATCGTGGATGGACCAGGCTGAGGATATTATTTAGCTAGTGTGTTCACTTGATGACATAGAACCTGGTGAGGAGTGGGCAACGTTACCAACAGAGTACTGAACGGCCGTTTTCGTTTGCATCCGACTAGACAGAAAATGCTGACAAGAAAGTGCGTCCCCTGTAGAGGCAGAAGTGCAGGCTGTAACTTTGGAGAATTCTCTAGAGATCGACCTGTCGCAGATGGATCTGTGATTCGCTATTCACGCATCTCTTCCAGCTCTGTTCACACCTTCCTTGAACTAGATAGATGCCCTGACATGAGCTGATAAATAGCTCACACCTGAGACACTCTTTATCACGTCACCAATATCTCTCTAGTTGTCACATATCACTCCTGTCACCTGCCTGATTAACGATTTCTCCTTCAGAACCAACAGCACTCAGAAATAATTATGTTGAGTCGTTTGGCTCGTATTGGTCTAACGGATGCCCCGTGGCCAATATACACTCAACTTATTTCTGGAGTAGGGCAACTCAAGTTTGGGCACTACAAAATGTATATGTATATGAATACAATATTCCTAGGCACACTTGGCTGGACACCCCCACTGCTATAAAAAGAAAGCCCCCAGGTTATGATAGTTTATTATCATAACCATGTTAACACATATAATATTTATGATTCATTCACACAACAATGCTGAACACTTAGAAAGGTGAAATGGAGACACCTAAGTCAGCCATGAAAATGAATGCATGTAATCATTACAACATATATATATATATATATATATATATATATATATATATATATATATATATATACATATATATATATATATATATATATATATATATATATATATATATATATATATTAGTGAAGTAGATGCCAGATCTCAGTGGATGGATCCCAGAACACAATGACTAGACTCAACAGAAATCTAAACAGCCAGAAAGTCCTGGAGGTAACACTGTCTCATCCTTGGAATCCATTGGAGCTGTGGGGAATATAGCATGACATAGAATCAAACTGGCACTTATCCTAGTTCTACTGATGATGCTTCCCTCAGCTCCTGGTGATTCGACTGTCTTTGACTCTGGTAATTCTGCTTCCAGTGGATCAGGTAGTAGAGGAGTACCTCACCATAGAGGACACAGAACATGTATAGGTACTCAGCAAGTCTCTCCCACCAGTCAGGTCACAATACTGTCTCTGAGCTACACCAGGCTCCTGAAGACTGGTCTACTCGAGTATGGATATACTCTCTACAAATGTTCACCTGCTCTGGAGTTCACTCACATGCTCTGGCACTGTTAGGAGGTTTGGGGTATATGGCACCCCATGATGATGATGCCAGGTACCTTCACTGGTGTAAGCTGGTGGGTAGTTGGTTGATAGTTAATTGGTAGTTGGTTGGACTGTGATTATTCTGCCAGCTCTTCACAAAGGTTTCATCCTGTCAGGAAAGAACTCAGAATTAGTCATCACCAAGAGGGTATCATCTTGACAGGAAAGACTCAGAATAAGCATCAGTCACCACCCCACATCAGCCTACTCCACCTCTGCTCCTCTGTTTCATTCCTCAGAGTGTACTCTCAAGACCAGGAGACAAAGTCTCCTATCATTTATCTGTCTGTTTAGTGCAAGAGATGGACTGTCAGATATATATACAGTGGAGACAGATAGACACTATCTCACGTAACTCAATTACTCTCCTTCCTCCCATCTGCACACAGACACTAATGTTTACAGTCCGTACCCCTATCCCCTACGACTCTCAAGCCATTCCCACACATCCATTGATCTGGGTCAAACACACTCACAGCAACGCTCTGGCTGCCCAAGTACTGACCTAAATTCTCCGTCCCCATTCGTATGCACAAACTTCTGTTGTTAGTTCAAATGGTACACACTTGTAGGGTCATTATCTTTACCAATTTGTGTGGGTTATTTAGGGCATAGGCTATTAGTCTATACAGAAGAAGATCTAAGTTCGAATCCGCTTCTCTAGAAATCAAGAACGGTCGAACTAGGTGTGACCCCATAGCCGAGGCCGGTATATTTACAGCAGCGACCTTTTTAACTAAACATCATTGAAGGTACTCGTAAACTATAATTAACTTTCCCAAGCATAGGAAAAGTTCTAGACACCACAGGCCGCCTTCTTAAGTGAAATTGATTGAGGCGTCGATGCATACATCTGAGCTCTAGGAAAGCCGGCAGAAACAATGCCCGCACAAATTCAAGTTAGGCGTCGGTAATAAGAAGTTCCTTGTATACATGAGCAAGGAGTAAACCGGTTTCCAGGAGTATTCAAATAACTCCAGCAATATGTATCATATAGTTGCAAATTTGAAAATGACGCTAAGTCAAAGCAACTAGAAGATGTAGACATTATAATTTTATCCGATAAAAGGGACTATATACCTTTCAGGACTAGTCCAAGTTTGAAAGTTTTGTCGAGCACAGGTAATACAGGTCCCGACTCTTTTACGATAATGTGTAATGGCTTGTCATTCCTTGACACTTGTTCATCTAGATATCACACAGCAACACAATTATTGGCACAATTGCAGGATAAATCTCAGTCGACAATAGGTAATCAGTCGTATTTCCAACTTCATAGCAGTCGTGTCTCCCAAATGTTGCTCCCTTTCTGTGGTGACGAAAATCACACACGCCCATCACTGTCGTTTGTGCAAAACTGACACTAACGGCGGTCTCATTTAATCCAGTAGCTTACAGTTGACATGTGACAACATTGTATTCTTTCTTCTTCTTCTTCAATCCTTCTGTCAGAAAACTTATATCAGGAGGCCGGTAGCCTTTATAAAAGCTATCATGCAGTCCATGTCCTCTCGTTTACCATACAGCTTTGTCTTCATTGTGGTTGCAACAGGCCAGACTGGGTCTCTGTTGTCAGCATACAGTTGACAGTGTTAGAGCACATGCTCAGCATTTTTGGGTGCAACGTTGCAGGGACACGTCTCCGTATTTCCTACACCGACAAATTTGAACATATGTTGACGAAGGCTGTTGTGCCCAGTCCTTTGTCTGAATATAATATACTATCCGTCTCTAGAGAGGCGATAAAGCGAGTCTTGGGGGGAAAATCAGATGTTTGTGTCCAGCTACCTTTCATGGATACTAGATTGTATTAATGTTTTCGTCTCTTGGTGGGTTAGGTCGCTGTTTGGTTGTACCATGTCACTGCCGCTTCTGGCCAATCTGTCCGCTATTTATTTGCCTTCCACGCCACAGTGACCTGGAATCCACTGCAGTACAGATTGTTCTACTAAAGAGCCGAAGTAAATCAGCTGTTTCGTCAAGTCTACAAACTGAGTGTCTTTTGGGTTAACAATTGCTTGTAGAACTGACATAGCATCAGTCAAAAAGACCACTCTGCTATATTTGATGTGCTGTTGTCCATTCAGGAAAGAACATGCCGCCAGAATTTCTTCTGCCTCTGCCTTGTAATTGGAGGTATATGAACCTGTTGGTACAGCCTGGTTGATTTTTAAACCGTTTGTGCATTCGGTGAATATTCCTCCTCCTCCGTCTCTTACTGCTCTCTTGGCTGAACCATCTGTATGCACTCAATCCCACTTTGGTTTGGATAAAGTCTGTTCATCTCTCCTTTTGTGGTTGATTTCATATCAGTGCTGCTCATTGATGATTTGGAAGAGGTCCCTGTTACCATGATTCTGATTGTTGGTAGGCTATCCCTTAGCCAAGTCTGGGAGGGGGGGGGGGTGGCAGTCGTTGTAAGGTTTCAGTGGAACATTTGGTATTATGGGAGGGAGTTTGAGGACAGGGAGCTTGGCATTTGCGTTTCCAATAAAAACAGGTTTTCCTTAGTCTAGCCTTCTGTGGTTTCTGCAGTCGATTGTGCATGGTTTGTTCTTTAAAATGGTGATATTTGGAGAGCTGGGTGAGGAGCTTCGTATCTCTCCTATCTTCCAGATCTTGGAGACCAGTAATTATTTCCATGTCATAATACGGAGAGCATGGTTTTGCATCTTTGAGACTTTCTGAAAATTTTATTTAGCTGCTGTGCCCCAAGCAGCTATTCCATATTCTAGTGTTGGCCTCACATATCCTCTATAGGTCACTTTTGAGGACTCTGAGGTTTGCTCCCAAGTCTGTTTCAGCTAACTTCCTCATCAGCTGGGTTTTCTTGAGCCCCTTGCTCTGTGTGTTTTCTATCTTTTTTTCCAGGTGAGTCTTGGGTCAAAGGTTAATTCTAAATATGACGGTGAGTCACCAGGTTTCAGTTCCTGGCTGCCATATGTAAGTGAAACTTTCTGGGGTTCGGTAGAAAGACTGAAAATGGTGTGTGTGGCTTAGGCCACATTTACAGGCATGTACCAACTATTGGACCACCTCTCTAGAGTTCCGAGGGATTCCTGGAGCATCTGTGCTTTGCCAGTATTTTCTTCTGAACTCAGTAGCGCCAAATCATCGGCATTTAGGACAGCTCGAACTCCATTACAGAGGCTTGATTTTCTGTCGGTAATGTAAACGAGGAAAATAATGGGGACAGAATTCTGCCTTGTGAAACTCCATGTTTCATTATGACTGATCTGCTCCTTGTGATGCCCTGTCTATCTGAAAACATTACGTAAAGGACCCGGCTGTGATTGTTGTGTCACAGCCAGTGAACCACTTCTGTCATTATTGTTAGTTAATGGTCGACGTTTGGCGCAAGAGAGCCTGGCCAATGATACCCCAACATCGAGCTTAAGAATGGAGGTGGAGGCGGTCACTGCAGCTTTCCACTGGCTAGAGAACACGACACATACACACATCGTGATTGCAACTGATTCAGAAAGCATGCTAAGGAAGATCAGAACAGGTATGCTTCGTGCAGAGTGGCATGCTTCGCTGCGGAGGACACGGGTGAGGAGTATTGTCTGGATTTTTTCACCGAGGGACGCCGGTGTGTTGGGAAATGAACGGGCGGACAGACTGGCTGGCTCTGCACAACTTGGTGGCATACTGATACATGATAAGGCAGACGTGGATAGTGCCTTGTGGGAGAGCGTGTACAATGCGGAGGAGCAGATGAATCACCACAGTTTGGTGAGATTGATGCAGTTGGGGGTGACGAGAGGTTCTGGCAGAAGCTCAAGGGTCAGAGGAAAGGCAAGACGGACGTTTAATCAGAAAGCTACTGGCACCATTAGTATCGGAACTCTTCGCTGGCTGTTGAAGATGGTTACGGAGCGCTTATGGGAATTCCCCGAGTGCTGTGATGTCGGTTCTTGAATCAAATCAAATGAATCAATCTTTATTGTTATATCTTGATAGTCATAAGTCTCCAGCCACCTGATAACTGATCACCACTTCATCACTTTTATGGAGTACTGTGTCAACTGCTGTTTTAGTGCTTCTATGACAACTGAAAACAATTTGTGGAAAGAGAGACAGATGAAGATTCTTGATAGTATTTCGTCATGGTATGGAGGGGTGTCAGCACACGAACTGGTACTCGCAGTTGCGGATCTTAGAATATCGAGAGGCCTCATCGCCAAGGCCAGTCAACAAAGCACTTGATGATGACGAAGCCGTGGGGCTAACTGGGATGTTTCTAAATTTGAATTATGTTTTTGAAACTGAATGTTGTTTCTAAACCTGACTTTTGTTTCTAAACCTGACTTTTGTTTCTAAACCTGACTTTTGTTTCTAAACCTGACTTTTGTTTCTAAACCTGATATTTGTTTTTAAACCGGGCTTGAATTGTGTTTCGAAACCTGACTTTTGATTATCTAAACCGGAGATGTTTGCCCACAGGCTGCCAACAACACCAAGCGGGAGAACAGCGCCTTTGCTGGTGTCGACTGTGCAGCCAACGCTAAACTCTGCGTCGCCAACGGCGCCATCAAACTGCCCATGATGCGGCTATACTCCAAGAATTACTGCATCGGCGAGATGAAGTCAATCAAAGGTCTCAGCGCAGACGTGTTGCGACAGTTTGTAGAGATGGCGCCAATGATGGATTCATGCCGTATGAAGACTTGCACTCGCAAAAAGGAGAACACATGTTAGTCAGACAGTCATAGTCTTGTAAAGTTTGCATAATCACTGTCTTAAACTATCATCAACAACAGCTAAAATCATTATATATATATATATATATATATATATGTCTTCTAAATCAGTGCATACCATGGACAGCTTAGCGTACTTGAGCTTCAGAATTTTTGCAAGTATTATATAAACCTCAGATATTGAATTAAAATCTAGCTGCAAGTATGGGAGTATCGAATACATGTATTACATCAATTGTGTAACGTGTTTTATTGTCGTTTCTTCTTTTTTGGTATGTTTAGCCAGATCATGCCACCATTTAATTATCTGTTTATTACTCCCTGTGTCATGCATTCGACAACCAAAAACTAAAGCCTTGTAGCCCCCACCCCCCCCCCTTTCCACCCACCCTCCAAGTATGTGGCACGACGCCCCCCCTCCCCCCAGTGCCACCACTCCCTTTTCCTCCAAAGAATAAAACTATGTGATTAAAAAGAGGACGCACTGGAGAACTCCAATTACCGTTAACTCTTTTAGGACCACATGTTTTCTGTAGTTTGGACGGCATTAATTGTTAGCGGAATTTCTTAACTGCAAAACGACAAAGCAAAAAACTTCCTGAAGAAAAATTATTAGCTGTATCGGGACATATAATATATAAAATTGAAGATAAATGAATGCAGAAAAATTTAAACTATTTAAGTGTCAGTATTACAACGACATATTTTTAAAATCACACAACATTCAAGGATGTTAGACAGATAGGACGATTACTTACTTCAAAAACAATACTGTACTTACCTCACTTGTTTACGTGTTCAGCTAGAAAGACTGGACCGAGTACAAAATGAGGCCATGAGACTCATACTCGGCTGCACAAAAGACACCTCCTGCAACGCCATGCGTTATGTCCTGGGTTTGCCAACGATGACTAGCAGATACAAAGTGGCACAAGTCAAGGCTTACATGAGGGTATCGGCAGACGCTAACCACCCATTGCACAAAGCTATATACGACACAAAAGGAATGCGTCTCAAAAGAGGCCGCTCTTGGATGGCAAAGGCTGAGAATTTGATCCAGCAGGTATGTGACCTACGCGTTATCAGGCACGGAAAAGAATGGATGAATACACCAGTAGACATGCATGGCATCTCTAAGGTTGTCATCACACTAGGAAGGTACTGTCGGGATCAGATTCCTGCGGCCATAGACACAGAAGTAAGGGAACTGATAGATCAGCATTCAGACCCAGAAGATATCATCATCTACACAGATGGGTCCGTGAAGCGCGGATCAAGGTCAGCATGGGCATACACAGCGCAAAGAAGGGGGAAAACAATACACAAGGACAGCGGCGCTTACCAGACAACCAAGTCAAGCATGACCATGGAAATAGCCGCTGCTTCTAGAGCTTTAGCATGGGTATCCGAGCAAACCGCCACACAAGCAGTAATTGTCTCAGACTCAATGAATATGCTTCAGAAAATAGCAACAGGCAGTATGCGCTCTGAATGGATAGAAAGCATTCGGAAATCGCACTTAACTTCCGTAACCCGGATCTACACACCGGGTCATGCGGGCGTAAAGGGAAATGAGCGAGCGGACCAACTGGCAAGCACAGCACTAATGATTGCGGGAAAAAGCATGGACAGAGCAGATATAGTTAACGCTGTACGTACTGGGCTAGTGGATAATATCGAATCCCTGACACTAACACGATTGCGTGACATGGGAGTTAAGCATGGTGAAGCACGTCTTTGCCGTCTGCGAGGCCGAGAAAGGAGACAATATAACCAGCTTCTCATGGGGACAATTAGTAGAAGTACTTTGGAGTGGCTGCAGCTTCGGAGGACTGCGCACGCATGGGTATGCCCAATGTGCAGTGACGTCGATTGTGATAACAAAACACAAAATAACATTTTATAGGAAGTCGGCATTCTGAAACCCAAGTTCAAGGTGTCTCCTTCGTGCCAAAGAACTGCATGGCTGTTGGGTGAACAGTCGTTAACGAAGGCAGTCAGGTCGTTGTAGGGGCGACGCCTGCTGGTGGATGTAATGTCCTAAGTCCCTTTCCCAGCTAATAGTGAGGGTACTGCTGGGGTGACCATTTGTTAACCCCTCACGTAATGCTTCAAGTCACAGTGGACACTAGGCACGACCACTTTTTTTTTTTTTTTTAAAGCCGTGGCAGTTCTGCCAGGCGGTGGCCGTTGCATTTTTGCTCCATTTGTAGACTGGAAGGATATAGTTTCGTCACCCAGCTTCTGAGTTGAGTGCATGGTGTGACACTGTGAGCTACGAGTGTTTTTCGTTGGCACAGGAGCGGAGCAACAATGGGGTGACCCGTTTGCTATGATGCTGAAACTAGGATTACCAGATTACCAGATTACGTGTTCAACAACATTGCTGTCTAATTCTAACAATGCACATGCCTTCAATTTTTAATTATGTACCAGCTAGTTTTTTTCTTCTTTTTTTATTGAAACAATTAATTTAAATACTTTGAATGTTATGATCATTTTGTGTACAAGGTCTGACAATTAAAAATGAGACTGATTTTAATATAGCCATGAAAAAAAAAATGTCATCTAGGAAGCAAAGCATGGAGTCTAAAGAGGCAACATTCATCTATGATCTGGCAACTTTTCATAGGCAGACATCAAACACGCCGCCATGTTGTTGACCCAGTCAGTGGTGCATTGTCACGTAATCATCACAGAGCCAAAAAGCTAACATTAAATTCTTTTTAAAACTCAGAAAAAGCGCCATCGAAACAGCTGAAATGATGCAACTAGTCTCTGGGGAAAATAGTCTATCTCGTGCAAACATTTTCAGGTGGTAATCACGATTTAAAAGTGGTCTGGAAATGATTACTAATGCACCTAGACCTGGACGTCAAATTTCGGTTTGTAATAATACACTCATTGCAAAAGTCAGAGAACGGATACAAGAAGATTATTGCTTTACTGTGAGGATGATGGCAGGTGAATCTGGTGGTAATAGATTGATATTTCATAACATTTAAGTGGAAGATTTTGGCAAGAAAAAAAATTGCTGTCTACCATATTCGTTGTCTGATGAATAAAAATATCACATGCTTGAGTACCCAAGAGATATCATCCAAACGAAAACTGTTGGTGCTAAAACAAGTGTGTGTTCTCAGCCTTCCACCCTTATCTCCCGATTTGTCTGCCTGTGATTATTTTCTATTCCCAAAAGTAAAGTTACGATTGAAAGAACGCTTCTTTAACGATACTGATGACATCAAAAGGTCTGTAACATCGACTTTAAGGGCTATAACAATAACAGAACTACAGAGGTCGTACTAGGTCGTACTAGTGTTTGTTAGATCTTTCCATTTGCTGTAAAAGTGCACAAGGGGCTTACTTTGAAACAGATGCAGGTTATATCTCCCACAGTTGATTGTTTATTGTTATGGAATTAGCCTTATTACTTAATTATCGGACTTTGTACGACATGTCAAATTTAACAAACACCGAAAATCGGGAAAAAAGCTGATCGAAACTTTAATCTGATTGAAATATTTTGTTCCATTTTCATATCCTAATTTAAATTATCGCCAGTAGGTTTGTAACTTGGATTATCAGTCATAATATAAAGACCATTGTCACAATCTGGCCGAGATTCATCAAAGACAGATCAGTATGAATAGTTCAATACATTTTCCCGTATCGTTTAGTATAGAAAAATCACGTAAAAATTGTTTCTCTTTTAGAAAACTTTTTTAAAAAAATCAGAAAATAATGCACCCACTACGATGAGCTTCGCAAGCGAAAGGACTTCGTGTTGTTAATTCTAATTGTTCAAAACCTGTTCATGAAAGTTCAATTTCCCAACAAATAAAACAAAATTGGAGTGTCTCTATGATACGCCAATATACTGGCAGATTGTTCATTTGGGATAAACTCATTCGCCAGTGTACTGGCCAAAAGTTTTTGAAGAGTTAATTATAAATCTGCTGGCTGACAGGGTTTTTAAATTTTTGTTTTCTTTGCGTTTTTGCAGTACACATTGCATATCCTCCACCTTATCATTTATAGTATTAGCTTATCTCTGAATGTCAAAGCTTATCTGAGAGTAAAACATCTATAATACGCGGGCTGTTTGATGGTTTGAAACTTTCTTCTTCTTCTTCTTCTTCTTCACTTCCTCTTTTACCGCTGTGGGTGTCGAGGGAGATATAAGGTTCTGTTTCTAGCTCTTCTGGGTGCCTCGACCATAGGCACATCGTGCTGTTGTAGAGTTTCTCTGATGTTATCCTTCCATCTTGTTTTTGGTCTACCCCGTGCTCTACGTCCTTCTTCTCTTCCCATGTATGCTTTGTATGGTATGGTGTCACAAGGCATTCTCTCTAAGTGGGCAAACCATTTTACTTGCTGTCTTTGTATGTAATCCAGAATTGGTTCTGTGCCGACTTGTTCTCTTATGATCTCATTTCTGATCTTATCTCTTATGGTCACTCCTACAGCCCTTCTCAGACATCTCATTTCCGTGGTTACTAATTTTCTTTTATGGTTTTTTTGTGAGTGACCATGTCTGGCACTGGTAGCACAGAGTTGGAATAAATATGCTTTGAATAAGATGTCTCTTTGTGCTGACTGGGATTGTCTTATGCTGTAAGAGGGGGGCTAGCTGTCCCAATACTTGGTTTGCTTTACTGCATGTAATGTCAATTTCTTTATCCAATTTCCCATCTTCGGTAAATGTAGTTCCCAGATATTTAAACTCAGATGCCTGTTTAATGCCTTTGAATTCTATTGTTATGTTTAGATCTGTCTTCTTTTTTCCTATTGACATTACTTCTGTCTTTTCAGTGTTGATTTTCATATTATTTGTTTTACATTCTTCATTCATGGATGTTAGATGTTGTTGCAATTTCATGGCTGTATCTGCTATCAAGGCCTGGTCATCTGCAAAGAGTAATTCGTTGATCTTACTAAGATCTTCATTCATAGGCTTGGCATTCTTGCATATACTGTCAATGTAGGTGATAAACAGCAGTGGTGATAAGACACATCCCTGTCTTACTCCAGATGTCACTGTGAAAGGATGAGATGTTCCCTGATTTATTCTAACTACACTTCTACAATCCCTGTATAAACTTTTGCACACTTCGATGAGGTGTTCGCTTACTCCATATCTTGCCATTATTTTCCATAATAATTGTCTGTCAACTCTGTCAAATGCCTTCTCCTGGTCTACGAATGCCACAAATAAGTTCTTATTGTATTCAATGTTCTTTTCTATTAACTGTTTAAGTGTGAAGATTGCATCTGTGCAGCTTCTATTTCTCCTAAATCCCATCTGTTCTTCTGCCAGCTGTGGTTCTATCACTGGTCTCAGTCTTGTTTCTATTATCTTGGCATACATTTTGCCAACATGGCTTAAAAGAGAGACGCCTGGATATTGACCGCATTCTCGTTTGCTTCCTTTGTTTTTCCACAATGGTAAAACTATTGCATGTTGCCAATCAATAGGGGCCGTTTGTTGTACCCATGCTGCATTGAATATTCTGTGAAGCCATCTGATGCTGCTTTCACCTGCTGCTTGAATTATTTATGTTGGTAATCTATCAGCTCCTGGTGCTTTATATTTGGGAGACTGTTTAATGACTTTTTCTATTTCATCCATTAGTATGTGTGGTTCTAACACTGTTGCTCTGTGCTCTTCAGTTGTTCTTTCTCATTTTCTGCTAGTGACTCACCGAAACGTTCCCAGGATGCTTGTTTTGCTTTCTTGACACTCCTATTGGTTTCTCTCCTTTGCAGTCTATAGTTTATATAATCTTCTTCTTTCTTTGATTTTATCCACTGTTTATCTTTTTTCTTTTTAATTGCTTCTTTTACTTCTTCGCACCACCAAGGTGAATATTTGTTATTTCCCCGTCTGTTTCCACTCTTCCGTTTTCCACATAATTCTTCTGCAATACTAAGCATAGTGTTTTTATATATACTCCATTCTTCCTCAATATTGCCAACTACATGTTGAAGTTGTTTGAATGCTGTCTCTACTTTCTGTTGTAACTGTTCTTTTACTCCTTCTTGTTTCAGATTTGCTATCTTGATGAGATCCTTGTTTTTGTTTAATTTCTTTCTGTGTTTCTTTAATGTAAGATGTTTTGCTGTTAACACAACTATTTTATGGTCAGTGTCACATAGACCATTAGTGATTGCTCTTGAATCAAGAATTCTCCTTTTTCCTTGAACTCTGGTAAGTATAAAGTCAATCTGGCTCTTGATGGAGATATCATTCCATTTGTACCAAGTGTAAAGTTGTGAATCTCTATGGTCAAAGAATGTGTTCGTAATAAAAAAATTGTGCTGGCTGCATAGATCCAATATTCTTTGACCATTTCCATTTCTAGCACTGTTCTTAGCTGCATGTGGACCTAAAAATTGTTCATATTCTCTTCTGTTATTTCCTACCCTCCCGTTGAAGTCACCCATTACATATAGTATGCTGCTTCCCTCAACTTTCTTTATCTCATCAGACAGATCGTCAAAGAATTCATCTTTCTGCTCTTCTGTATAATTATCATTGCATGGTGCATATATCTGTATATATGTTTCAGCTTGTTCTCCTCTTTTAATTTTCAAAGTAATAATTCTATCTGAGTGATAATGTGTGTCTAATATGTAGTTAGATATGTCTGGATGTACCAGGAAACCCACTCCATTCTTCGATGTTTCTCCTCCTGCATATGTTAGTAAGTAGCCTCTGTGTATTTTCTTATTAATATTTCACTTGCGTCTTATGTCAGCTAGCCCCATTAACTTGATTTTCCTTTTTTCCATCATTTCAATAATCTCTTCTGTTTTATTTTCCAGGCCAGCGGTGTTAAGTGTTGCAATCTTGTATTTCGCTGTTCTGTCTCGTAGTCCCTTAACATTGCCATGGTCAGATACCGTTTGATCAGTCCGTTTATATCTCATTTTGATTTTTGTAGCGGTAAAAAATCCATTGCCGGCTTGCGAGGCCTTACCTAAAAAGTTCGCCTTACCTAATTTACCCAAGTAAAGTAAGTAAGCATAACCGATTGCTTGCTTTGAATCAGGTTCTGTTTCCCCCCCCCCCCTTTTTTTTAATCCTATAAATCATTCAAAAGGAAAACAAACGTGTGTTTACTTTTTTTTTCAAATGCGCTGACAATGGGAATTGATAATAAAGGGATGATTGCTAAATCTAAACAATACATCGAACCGTTACCGAGTTGAAGATGTTTACATTTCGGCAGTACTTTTGAAACGCACCATGAAACCCATTTCCAAAAGGGGATTCATCGTCTCTCTGTCTCTTTCTTCAACGTCTCCACAACTGAGCTCACTCAGTTTGTGTGCCTTGTACATACTTCTTTCTCCACAAGCCGCTGAAGACACAGCCAGTCTGTCAGCTCCTTCATTTCCCATCACCCCAAGATAGTTTCTTGATCCGGCACTTTTGGATATTTCAAACCATTCTAGCCGTAGTGTGCCAGTTAAGACTTTCTTCAACATTCTCATTGATCATTATCAATACTTGAGTTGCTTTCTGCTCCACCAACCATTCAAGTGCCCACGTGACATCTTCGATCAACTTCATCGCACTAGAATTAGTTAACCTGAATGTATGACTCTCCTTTTTGACTATATTTATTTTTACCTATGGAATCACGGTACCATCAATGAGGCTTTGCATATTTTGGTTGAGTTATGAGTTAGATTATATTCACAGCACTCCGGGCACATCCATAGGCGCTCAGATTCCCCTCTCAACATATTCATCAGCAGCGTGCGGTTAATAGTACCGGTCCTATGGTGATTAACAGGACTTCGTGTGCGCCCAGTGTGCTTCTCATGCTTTGCTGTGCCGATCTTTACTCCCAATTCTCATATTCTTAGAAGTGAAGTGGACATGTAGCTTCCAAAAGCCTCAGAACGTCCTATCACGCTAAGGGCAATGGCAATGTCTGCGTGATTCATGGGCTGGCCATCTTCAATTATTGCAGTGCGTGCCAGCCTATCAGCTCTCTCAATACCAACAACGTCTGCATGCTCTGGGACGAATATGAAAGTAACTGTTCAATCCTTGCGTCCTTTTAAGGACGAAATTTTTTGTTTTATGAAGCCCCACCCTGGCTTTTGCCAGGTGCTGCAATATAGGCTGGCCACAAATGTCTGAACGCGGATTCTGGGACCTCTCCACGGTGATCCACATCCACAAGGTGGCACCTTGTGTCATCGGGTTTTTGTCGCTTGTGTGATGTCCTGATGGGGTAGAAAGTCAGTCAGTCGAAGTAAGTGCACACACACATGAGAATTTTGCAATGACTCAAGCCACTGATTGCTGCTGTCAGCTATTGTAAGCTGTTGGCTCCATACGTAGCACTGACGACAGAGCTCTTGTATGGGCAATGTCCCTTGAGAAACACACAGAAATAAACGGAACCTATGATCAGTATTTATCAACCGACAAAGAACAGAGTGAATTGATTCAAGAATCGCATTCATAGTTGTCTGTGCATTCTCATAAACGCACCGTTTTCAACTTCAAATGGAATCAGCGAGTTCCGAAACCAATGGTGTCAGCATCATTCCGATTATACGACCGTCTTGCCTCTTCTCTGAGCGTCGAGTGTCGGCCATATACTCTCTTCACTTCTCGCTGCACCACTCTCACCAGACTGTGGTCATTCATTTGCTCCTCGCAGTCGTAGACGTTCTAACACAAGACCCGAAACATGTGTGTGTTATCATAAATCCATATTCCACCAAACTGTGCAGAGCTAGCCAGCTTGTCCGCGGACCAAGAAAACCTGCAAGCTTAACACATGACAGGAACAGGCAAGACGTTTGGTGTACAATCTGTATCATATCGTGGTGAAAACATCGTCAAATATGTCCAGCTAAACAATCTGGTATCATGGCGTGATTAAAACCTCGTCAAATATGTCCATCTTAACAATATGGTATAATGGCGTGGTTAAAACCTCGTCAAATATGTCCAGCTAAACGATCTGGTGTTATGGCTTCAAAAACCTGTCCAGCTAGACAGTTTGATATCAAAACATGACAAAATCTGCGTGACGCAAATTAGCTGGACAGTTTGGTCTCATGACATGGACACAAAAACCTAGACACAACATGGCCAGCGAGACAAGATCAGCATGCTTTGTATTAGATCTGCTTAATTATGATAAACAAATAGACAGAACAAATCAAAATCAATGTATATCTAATAATGAGTTTCTCTTTAGTGAAGTTTGCATAGCTGCATTCAGAGAGAACTTGTACAGTCATGATATCGGGGTTCTACTTGAGCTCATTGTTGATCCAAAGGACGAGATACCCACGGAGCTCTTGATTTACGGAATTCGAGAAAATATTTCGTTATTTTAATATAGCCCAGAATAACTGGTGGTAACTGGAGAAGGTAGCAAACAAGATTGTCACCGCGATGTTATTTGCCTTTAAAACAAGGACTGCACTCCACCATGCGCAACGCTTCTGCTGGCGGAGCCATTTCCACGCGCTGTCTCAAGCTGTCAGAGCTGACTGTGTTCTTCAACTCTCCCAGGCAGTACGTCTTGGAATACACTCTGACCATAGGCAGGTCGGTGGCTTTGTGTTGCGTGCAGAGTATCATGTTGGCGCTACAGTCGACCCCGGCATATGAGTGTCCGGCTCGCTTGGTGCTGCAGGCGGCCTGTCGATGAACACGCATGTATGTCAACTATCAATATCCTCACACGGTAAAGAGGAACTTTCTAACTCTAGTAGTGTCTTGGATTTTTTTGCTGAAAAGCTCATATTTTAATTCATTCTGTACATTATATGTGAATAAGAATATTTTCTAAATTATATATATATATATATATATATATATATATATATATATATATATATATATATATACACGGTTCTACAATTAAGTAATAAGACTGATTTTATCATGGCCTAGACACAAATGTCAGTTATGAAGCACAGCATTGATTCCAAAGAGGCGACCTTGAAATTTAATCTGGCAACTTTGCATCGCCATCTAATATGCAGACAACAAAGAAGCCGCCATTTTATTGACCTAGTTAGATGTGCATTGTTAGGAAATCATAATGGAGCAAAAAGCTAACATTACATTATGTTTAAAACTCAGAAAAAAACGCTATTGAAACAGATTCCGACCACTAATGTGACAAGCAAGAAATCTGAGCTCTCCACAATGACAATGAAAGAAGATATTTCACCTAATCTCAAAAGGAAACGGGCAAAGTAATCAACAAGACTTCCTAAAACAGATGCAAACGCAGAGATACATAACGGGTGGCACTACAACCGCCCATGAAGCATCGTGTCTACAACAACAGACATGAACTAGCAAGAGTGTCAACACATGCCTGGCAAGGATAGACACACGCCCAGGTAGAACTACGCTCGATGAAGTTGCAGCTGATTCTGCTCAAGAATATTGTAATCAGCAGGAGGGCATTACTTTAACATCCTTGTGTGCACTAGAATGACTGATTCAGGATGTAACCTAGGATATCAATGATTCGCTTTCCCCTTTTCAATTGCCATTTTGTTTTTTTTATTTTGTCTTAACTTCTTCCATACGTGTATGCATTTATTCCCTTGAGGACAGCTACATAAGATTTCGATTCGACGAAATGACAAAAGAAGTCTGTTTCGATGACTGCTGAATTAAGAATCGACATCACAGCGATAGTCACATTTCCTTAAATGTTCTGTCCCTATCTTTAGCATCAAAAGCAGAGTTATAATTCCGCTTGTACTAGCAACTGTCTTTGGTAACACAGCTTTTCTAGATACTTCCCGTTCACTTCTCCTTGAACAATAATGAATTTTTTCGCGCCTGCGCAGTGCTCCCATGATCCCAAAGGACCGTTACAACATCTATCTTCTCCTGACATATCTAGGCATCTGGCCCTCCTGAGAGCATTAGTAACATGGACATCAATCAAAGCTTGTCCTGTGCAGGCCATGACCATGCCAACCTGTCAGTGTCCACAACATTCTGCTTCATGTTCTTTTAGTCAACTCAGCCACCGATTATCCTCCAAGCAATGATGCCAAACTGTCCACCATCTGTTCTTTCAATCTCCGTCGGTCTCTTTTTTTCCTCCAACTTTCCGTCTCGATGTTCTCTGGTTTTCATGACATTACAGCAGAATGTAGACTAAAAGATTGCAAATTAAATGTACTGGTTGAAGCAAGCAAACTGAAAAAAAAAAAAATCATTGTTACTTAACGTGCTTCGTGAATATAATGCTAGATTATATTTTTGTAGACCAAATGCTATCGTATGGCTGACATATTCGAAATCACAATAGCTGCCTTTACTTCCAGTGATATTACCTGGTACGCCTTCAGGGTGGGTCTAACTGGGATAGGTATGGACGTAAGCCACGTCTGCGACAATTCAAATCCAAGACACTTCGTCTGGCAGGCGAGCCTTTAACCACCACGATAAAACATTAATCACAATCAACACTCTTTGTTTTACCTGGGAAACTGCCTTTTCCAATTCCCGACTCTGTGGAAGTTTACTGTCGTAGAACATGACAGCTACTACATCCCTGGTGTTGATAAACTTGGTAAAGTTGGTGTTGTCCAACCCGATGACAAGGTCGGATCTGAAGAAAGGGTCGTGATTGACTTTTAATCTTTGCAGGGGACTAGACGCGAATGCAGGATCAAAGACCATGTTGGGTGTTGAAGGTAACTCCATCGAATCATCAAAGTCGCTTAAGAATTCTTCAGGGGGAGCTTCGAAAGGAGGAATAGTTGGTTTCTTTGAGAGTTCTGGTTGATCGCGTAGTGTACTGGAGGGTGCAGAAAAACGCGACATACCATGTGCAGCTAATGCCCTGGGTAAATCGCCAACCGGAGCTCTACTGGGAAGTGGCGGCGGTTCAGTTGGCAAGCCTCCTTGTTTATACTTGGAGGCATTTCCAGGTTGCACTGGTAGCTGCCGTTTAACTGGTTTCGGCGCTATAGCTGGCGGGACCTTTAGTGGAACTGGGCGCGACACTCTAGGAGGTACTGGTGGTGCTTTCATTATGGAAGTTCTGGGTATTATGGCTGGTTGTGAATGTTGTACAGGGAGTGTAACTAAGGCTACAGGTCCTGGACCCGTAAAGGCGAAGGTCGAGTTGGAGAACTGCTCATTTGAACAATTATTTAAAGAAGACATTACAAGAGGGATTGATGATATTCTAAAAGAAGAATGAAATGTAGACGGGAGACGGACTGGTGAGGAAGTGATCTGAGGTGTTGTGGAAGAATCCATGAAATGTTGAAGAGGTTGAGAATTTCGAGTGGGTCGTCGTTCCCTATAATAAAAAGAGGAAGATTTCGGTACTAGGGTTGAAATCGCTCTAGATTTGAGTGGAGGATGTGGGGAGAAAAGGGTGTAGATTGCTTTGGCTGGATCCATCTGGCGGCAGAGATGGGGGTCCAATGACCTGCCTGGTAAATGACTGATTGGATCTTCTTTAGACTTGCTCTATCAGATGAAGTTTTTGATGACAGCGAGGCTGGGTACAACAGAGGAACGAACCTGATTGGGAATGTTAGTGTCGTGGCATGGTTGTCAATGCGTATTCAGCAACAGTCACTGCTGACAGGGCATTCTGTGGGATGGAGATGTTGCGCTGAAAGCCATTGTTGGCCAATGGGTCTGTGAATGAACCAAAGTAACCGTGACGTATTTATAAAATATGTACCGGTGCGTTAGTGTGCGCATTGCCTGTTGTGGGATATTCTATAGAGACTACACTAGGTGCCATAAAAAAAAACAATATAACACTTTATTATTTCCATCCTTTTCAGATTAAACACTGATATGAGCAGGCTGATCAATAGGATACGGTCGCCGTCTGGGCGGTGAGCTGTATTGTTGTCAGAACCCTGTGAGTACAGTCATGTGGCAGAGCAGACCACATAAAGGGTTTACCGTGTTCAGGGTACACCGCAGAGTTGAAACAAAAGTTCAGTGGCATGACTAACCAAGTCTGTTTGCGACGGCGAAACTAGAGCTCAGTAGAGATCACTGCAGACTACAAGTAAGAAAAAACTCTTTTTCGAACAAGTTCGCAACATAATTGTCCCATGACTTACTGAGCGGATTAACGGGTCAAAGGGCACAAGGTGAGCGAACACAGGGATTCGAGGTGCAGTGTTAGGACGGAGTGGACGTGTTAGCGAGACAGAGATAGAACGTTAGAGTTAGGATACTCCTTAAGTGACTGCATAGATGGTTTATAGTGCTATGTTATATTAGGATAGTCTGTTTGTGCTGTGTATTCAAATGGTATAATGTATTGTGTTGTTTCACAATAAGTAAGCAGTGTCCATTCATTTCTGATCAGTTAAATCAGTTAAATTCATGTTCTGTAAGATAATGTCTATCTTTGCTACACTGACCCCGCATTTGACAGAGGCTGTGACATCTTGGTAGGTCAGTGTGACGATAGGAAAGAACGTCCTCCACCCAGCTGTGGTTTGCACACCAGGAGATTGCCTGTGGAACGGACTAGAGAGCGAGGCGATTGTAAATCTCGTTCGACCAGAGGGTCCAGGCAACAGGTGGCCACACAGCGAGAAGTCAACTGTCTGTTGTATTACCTATACTTGCAATAAAGATTGTCATGTGTGCTCTGTGTGCGTTCAGGTCCAGTGTGTGTCAAAGTTAGTTTGTCTGTCATAGGCCCAGCTACGAGCCACGGACCATCAAGGTCACCCAGAGATCTGTGACAATTGTGATAAAGCGAACGTAATGACGGCTAAAAGAGTTCGAGTAAACAGTCACCATGAATAGATTTGGTGAACAGAGGGTCTGAAAAACTTTCTACTTGTGATTTAAAAAAAAAATAAAGTTAAGTTGTGCCGTCACTATTGGTTGGGATGATACTGAAGTTTTAGATAGCGGGTTTCTAACACAAGTGGAGATACATTAAAATCCAGTGATTCATCTTTGTTAATTCAAAGATTATTATCATCGCACACTTGTCAATGACGCATGTGAGTGATTCTAAGTGGCGATATTAACACCACCTGACACCACCACAGACAAATTAGAGTGTAACTGGGCAAAAAATGGATTCCGAGTTGCGTCTTAGTAAAATCTAGGGCGACATATCTAAATATGTCTTAGTAAAAAATTATAGCAGAGGTGAAACATAAATCACAAAGAGAACAGGAATGGCTAAAGTATCATCAATAAAATGCTCAACGTATTGACAGCTGGACAAATAAACAACACATTACTTGAGAATCCAAACTGTACGTATACTCAATCCTAGTGTATGGTTCATGGTGAGGATAAAGAGAAGATGAGTCTTATTTCACAAAGAATAAAAAAAAAAAAAATTATCATGCACAGATTTCGGAAAGACTAACAATGAAAAAAGAATTGCTGAATTAAAAAAAAAAAAAAAGCCAGAAACAACTGAAATGATTTAGCCATGAAGAAAGACCATGCTTTTAATAACTAGCGTCATCATATAGCAGGTCCTTAGTGGAACGTCGCTCTCATCACAGTCTGACGGAAAGAAACTCGGTCTCTCACCGGCTCTGCCGTTTTATGTACTTTTATATTTATGGAGTCACTTATATACCGTGTTGGTGGGCTCCTGCCTCTCTTTCTTGGTACCATGCCTTCGGCAATTATTTGTTCCAGTCCGTTATGGCGCTTGATATGACCAAAAAACTTCATCTTCCGAGAGACGATTCTGTTATCTAGTCTTCCTTGATGATCAGATCTTTTAAAATTCAGTATTTTTTTTTTTTCTATGATATACTGATAACCTTTTTTTTTTTAAATAGCATTTCAGCTTAAAATCTCTTATTTTCTTTCTTAAAGACTGTGAGACAGTCTACCCACTCACATCCGTATGTTGCTACAGGAAAGATGCATGTTCTCAAAATTCTAATTTTGATATTCTTGCTGTTGCATAACCATTGACTTTGAAAGCTTTTTAAATCCCATCTTCTTTTGACTTCTGTTAAACAGTCTACACTGCAATTTATTATACATCCTAGATACGCACAGTCTGAGACTTTCTATACTTCTCTCAATCTGACATCATTGCGTGGACAAAGCCTTGGTGAAACCTCTCCAGAAACACAATCTGACATCATTGCGTGGACAAAGCCTTGGTGAAACCTCTCCAGAACAACAATCTCATATCAAGGCGTGGACAAAACTTTGGTAATATCTCTCCATATAGACAATCTGGTATCATGGCATGAAACCTCTCCAGATACACAATCTGGTATCATGGCATAAAACCTCTCCAGATAGACAATCTTTTATCATCGCGTGGACAAAACCTTAGTGAAACCTCTCCAGATAGACAATCTGGTATCATGGCATGGACAAATATTTGGTGAAACATCTTCATATAGAAAATCTGGTATCATGGCATGAAACCTCTCCAGATAGACAATCTGGTATCATGTCGTGGACAAAGCCTTGATAAAACCTGTCCAGATGGTCAATCTGGTATCATGGCCTGGACAAAGCCTTGGTGAAAGCTATCCCGATAGACAATCTGGTATCATTGCGTGACAAAAACCGCGTCACACAAATTCAGCTGGACAGTTTGGTTTCATGGGGTGGACACAAAAACCTAGACCAAACATGGCCATCGAGACAGAGTACCTAACGTAAACAGACATGTCGACCATATCCATAGCATACAGATGATAAAAGAACAAATATATAACTATAATTATTACATATTTCTTTTTGTCTTCATTTTGTATTTTAATTTGTCCTGGATACCACCATTGCATCTTCTGCGTGCTCTACCCCTGCTCAATTGTATTTCTTCAGCATGACTCTCCCAGATTGTTGGTACCAGAGTATTCTCGTCAGATGGCCATTACTGCTTTGTTGTATTTGTTATCAAGCAGTCTTATTGGTCAGCGTAGAACTAACATGATAACATAGGCTGCCTGTTTAAAATGTTAAAGTAAAATATCTGCAGCCTTGGAGCTGTCCGGAGTGCCTAGAGGATAGCCCAACTTATAATTTGTTGCACCCCTCTAGCTACTTCATTGAAGTGTCAGATCTCGTCATTGACTGCTAAAGAAGGGGACACGGCATCTACGTGAATGTCGTGAGTGAAGTGATAGCAGTTGTCGTTTCATTCATTCTTTCATCCATTAATTTATTTTTCAAGTTTACACTTGCTGCTCTCGTCCCATTTTCTGTCCGGCCTTTCCTTTGCAGTCTCAATCTTATTTTTTTCGGCTTGCCTATCTGTGTCGGCGTCTGTGGTTTAAGCGTTGCGAACGCGCTTCATAATTTCGAGCGCCGGGTTCGATCCCAATTGCGGACGGCTTGTCTTGCGTTGGTTTGGACAGTGGTACCGAAAACTAGCTGTTCAGAAGCAATGGCAAACTACTGAACGTAACATTTGCCTAGAAAACCATAACAGCCAAAAAATGCTGGGGTTAAAGCTGCAACGTATTGTAAAGTTTACGAAACTAACATTGTGTTTAATCTGTGGCGGTACTAACGTCAGATGACCAAATCATTTCATCTGTTGCTCTTTGGTAAGCCATATTCCTGGTTTCAGATCTAGTCTCAGTCTCATTTCTGTATTTTCAATTGTATCCCATTTTGTTACTGCAGCAGCTCGTTGAAAAGAAATAATCTCTGTCGATACGATTGTACAATGTTTTGTTTTAGCAAAGGTCTATGTTTTACTGTAGTGGTATACATTTGGCTAAAAAACATAATGTCCGCTTATTTATGATGACAAACAATAGAAAGAACAAATTAACATCAATGCACATTTAATAGTGACTTCTCTTTAATATATTTGCAAAGCTGCATCAAGAGGGAATTTGAAGAAAGTTAATGAAGGCAATAATATTGTGGTTCTATTTGGGCCCATCGTTGACGCCAAAAACGAGATAACCATGGCTATGCAGAAAATAGTTGGTGGTTATAATTTGTTTAATGTAACCATGCATTTCTGAACTGAGAGCAACCGCTGAAGGTACCAAAATTGGGACCGTTATGTTATTTGCCTTTGAAACAAGGACTGCACTGTACCATGCGAAACGCGTCTGCAGGTGGGGCTGTTTCCACGCGCTGCCGCAAGGTGTCAGGGTGAACTGATTTCTTCACCTCTCCCAGACAGAAGTTCTTGGCATAGACTCTGACCATAGGCAGGTTGTAAGCGTTGTGTTGCATGCAGAGTTCCCTGCTGGCGTTGCAGTCGACAGCGGCATAGGCGTGGCCGGCTCGCTTGGTGCTGCAGGCGGCCTGTAGATGAACATGCATGTGTGTCAGATAGCAATATCATCATATAGTCTTGGATTTTGGCTGCAAAGCTCGAATAGTTCATGACATTTTGCAAATTAAATGTGTATACTAATACTGACTAAATGTTGTATATATATATATATATATATATATATATATATATATATATATATATATATATATATATATATATTAGGGTTGTACCGAATATTCGCTTCGTATTCGCTTCGGGGCCGAATAGTGGACCTAATAACTGTTCAGCATATGGCCGAATACTTACAGTCGGGCCGAATACGAATAGTGGTTACCAACACCCGTTTCTGTATAAATTGTGGAGTGAAATAACTCTCTAATTAACACAGTAGTTGCTGTCGCCTAAGTCTGTCTTAGCGGGGAAAACTGCGACCCAGTTTCGAGGTACAGCTGCTGGCAAGGTCTTTGCATGCTGACTCGGCCAAGGCATTACAGCAGAGAATATTACTGGGTGCATTTGTCAGGGGTGCCGCGGCGGGGAAAAAAAAAGTCGGCTATAAATTGTGACACTATTGAAGAAGGCATAAAGGTACTTCAAAGTTAATTTAAAGTGTCTTTCCACGCCACTGTCGAAAAGTGTTTTTGTTTCCGCATGTTTAACACTCAAGGTGTATCATACTGCATAAAATGCCAACCGCAGCGTGCTAAAACTTGTCTTCGTATTTATCACGAGGTGGGACCGATCCTCCATCTGTATTGGTGAAGGTGCAGCAGATAAGTAAGGTTGTGGTTACATTTTGGCTGAAATTTTAAAGTGGAAAATGTGGTCTGTACAATAGTAACTGTTAGTCTCTATCTTTATCTATCTTCCTTCACCCCACCAGGACATTACACAAGCTATAAACACCCGATGACGCAAAGTGCCACCATGTGGATGAGGATCACCCGTGGAGAGGTCCCAGAAACCGCGTTCAGCCATTAGACCATATTTATGGCCGGGCTATATTGCGGCCCCTGGAGAGCCAGAGTAGGGCTTCAAAAAACGAAAAATTGCATCCCAAAACGGGATAGCTAGACAAGATTAAAACTGCTAGCCTAGTCAAGTAAGCAATTATATTTAAAGGCATTGCGTTCGTTTGTGTTGCTTATGTGTGTGTGTGTTTGTGTATGTGTGTGTGTGTGTGTGTGAGTGAGTGTGTCTGTGCGTGTGAGTGAGAGAGAGAGAGAGAGAGAGAGAGAGAGAGAGAGAGAGAGAGAGAGAGAGAGAGAGAGAGAGAGAGAGAGAGAGAGAGAGAGAGAGATCATGCATTTTTTCGTTCTTTCAGGGTGTCCCTGTCCAAATCAAATTGGAAGATATTGCTGACTAGAATATGAAGGTGCGTTTAAATTACATCGAACGAGCGGCTGAGCGAAAGATGATTTAGATGCGAATCTGGCTGCATTCATTTCTGTTTGGCTTTGTTTCGGGTGGGAACAAACAGGTGTCGGAAGCACAAGACGACTATTTTATTATGGACAGATCAGAACAAGTCATTATCTTCCGCCTCAGAACGGGACTCAACCGATGACATAACCACATTTACATAAAACTCAAGATATGTGTATCAGCCATGTGCACCTGTGGAAAGGTGCCCCAGACAGCAGAGCATTTACTCCAGGACTGGACCGACTTTGACACATTAAGGCAAACCTTTTGACCATAAAGAACAACAGTAGAACCTAAACTCTACGGCCCACTGAATGAACTAACAACGACAATGACATTTATACATGAGACAAAACTGCTGATTTAGACAACTTATTTCAGGCGAACGCAAGAAGAAAAAGAAGAAGAAGACAAAGGAGCTGTTGGTTGGCTGAACGGATACGCTAAGCTGCCGTGCAGAAGACCCGGGTTCGAATCCACAGTACAGGATTTACCTTTTATATTACAAAAGGGGCAAATTAAAGTCACCACATGCACAGTCGTGGCGACAGCACTAGCCATGAGGCCCTAAATACTTTTTAAAAAAAAGACTGCAAGTATGCGGGTCAACCAGTCGATTTTCAAACTTGACCCTTTAGCATACTATATTTTATTTCAAAGTTTCCAATTGCATGGTTACGTTGAATGTTCGTAGATTTCCATTTATTTTGTCTGACATTGCGTTGGAATTAAGCTGTGTCGTTTACCATATTTTTTATTTCGTAATCATGTTGTCTATTTCCTTTTTTCATTGCTTTTCACTTAGTCTTCTTCAACTACTTCAATGAGGCAAAGAGTAGTCAGTGAATTAAGATGGAAACGGGGGATGTCAAGATTAGTTACAAGAAATATCCTCAGGTGATGATTTTTAAACCCTTTGGAGAGGGAGATAACAGTAGCCAGTCGATTTGGAAGTGGGGGGGGGGGGAGAAAAGGGGGGGGGGGCGGGGGGGGGGGGGGGGGGGGAGAAAAAAGGGGCGGGGGGGGGAGACATAAATTGTTAACTTAGAGAGTTTGACACATGGTTTTAAAGTTTTTATTTTTTAATTTGTTTTATTTTACCTACGCTATCCCAGCTATTTAATTGTTTTTTCTTTTTTTTTTAGGTAAGCTTTACTTCCGTCTCTTTAAAATATGCAAACGTATGGACAAAAGCCACGTCTGCTAGGATTTGAATCCAAGCCACTCCGGCTGTCGAGCGAGTGCTTAACCCCTAAGCTATCACAGTTATCATTGTCTTACTTGGGAAACGCTTTAGAAGGGGGTAACTAAATAACTGTGTGTTTTTAAAGTCCCCTCCACCTGCGAGAAAAAAAAGGTATCCTCGAATGCGGTATAGAGTGGCTTTAACATACAACTTTGGATTTTAGACAATTATTAAACACGCTGAAAAATATCTTAAGGCCCCAGAGTTGGGGTTTTACAGAAGAATCCTTAGAATTTATTGGACAACTAAGAAGAGCAAACTATATATTTTTAAAGAGGCGAGTGCTCTGAGACAACTTGTTAAAATCATCAGAAAAAGACAATAGTCATTTTCGGGGTTATGTTACGAGAACATGTTGTGGCACCCGCAAGGAACTGTTAAAGGAGAGACTGAGAAAGACAGCCTTCTTTCATGTTATTGAGGGGTGTCAATACACGAATTTATTCAGGCAGCTGCAGATAGTTAATTGTGGAGAGACGTGATCGCCCAGGCTAGTCGGCAAGGCATGTGATTATGATATATATAATCACTTTTTGTGTTTCACTACCGTTTTATATTCTTCTTTTCAAAGCCAGTGTGGTTTAGCGTTGTTAGTCGGATCCATTCACAATATTCAACCTCGTGTGTTTTTGTTTCTTTTAGACAACTTTGACACAAATAATCCTCCAAGCAATGATGCCAAACTGTCCAGAATCTTTTCTCTCTGTCTCCCTTGATGTCTGTTTTCTCTCAAACTTTGACATAGTCTCGGTGTACTCAAGTTTTCTCCTTCTCATGTCTTGAAAAATGAATGTAGACTTTCTCCTTCTGATGTGGGCAATCTGTCCTAGAAGGTTGTAAATTAAATGTGCTAGGGGAAGCAAGTAAACTGCAGAAACGTAGCCACGAAAAGCGCTTCCAGACTTCGATGCTAAATTATATTTCTGTAGACTAACTGCTATCCAGTGGCTGACAGAGTTAACGTCACATTAGCTGCCTTTACTTCCATGAGAGTACATTGTGCACCTTTCAGGATAGGGGTCAAGGGCACGTATGGACAAAAGCCACGTTTGCTAGGATTTGAATCCAAGCCACTCCGGCTGTCGAGCGAGTGCTTAACCCCTAAGCTATCACAGTTATCAGTTATCATTGTCTTACCTGGGAAACTATCTTTTCCAATTCCCGACTCTGTGGAAGACTGGGGTCGTAGAACATGACAGCTACCGCATCCTTGTTGGTGAGAAACTTGGGAAAGGTTTCGGTGTCCAACCCGATGACAAGGTTGGAGCTGAAGAAAGGGTCGTTAGTGACTTTGAGTTCGTATTTTTCCATGGGAGAGGACGTACTGGGGGGTTCACAAAACTCGTCGTCGGGTGAAGAAGGTCCCTCTATAGATTCATCAAGCTCAAGAAAGCCTCTGTCTAATTCGCTGGGATATTCGTCATATGAAATCGGGGGGAGTGGGGGAGGCCGACGCTGAGGTTTTGATGGTTCATTTGGAAAGCCTTGCGGTGGAGCTGATGGTAGGGCGGCATTTCCTCGGCGCACTGATGGCGGTCTAGATGGGGGGACCAGCTGTGCAAGCCCTCTAGGCTGGGGCGCCTGCAGTTCAGCCACTCTAGATCTGGGTGGAAGAGGTGGAGGAGGTTCCATCTGATGGCAGAAGTGAGTCTTCTCCAACGAAAGTGAGTTGGTTCCAACGACTTTTCAGGTAAAGTGACCGACTGGATCTTCTCAAGGCTTGCTGTATAAAATAAAGTTTGTGATCAAAGCGAAGCTGGACACAACAGAGGAACCAACCGGACTGGTGATGTCAGTGATGTGGCATGGCTGTCAATGCGTATTCAGCAACAGTCACTGCTGACAGGGCATTCTGTGGGATTTAGATGTTGCGCTGAAGGCCATTGTTGGCCAGCTGGATGTGTCGGTGAATGTACCCAAGTAACCATGACATTTTTCTGACCGGTGCTTTATTGTGCGCACTGTCTGTTTTGGCATATTCTGTAAAGTCTACATTAGAGGACCGAAAAAAAAAAAAAAAAAAGATGACACTTTATAATTTTATAGCTTTTTCGGATAGATGAAAGAACTTTGCTGGGTGCAACAAAGCCTTGTTTATGATATCAAAACGTCTAGTTTGAGAATGGAACTGAAGGCAGTCACTGCTGCATTCCTCCGGCTATAGAATCAGCTGTAAACACATGCCGTCATGGTAACTGACTCACAGAGCATTATGAGAAAGGTGGAGACAATCATGCTTCAAGCAAATTGGCAACAATCACTCCAAAGTTCCCGGGTGGTTATCATCCTTGGGATGTTTTCTCCAGGTTATGCCAGTGTGATGGGAAATGAGCATACAGACAGACTGGCCGGTTCTGCACCACTTGCTGGTGAACTAATGTATAACAAGCCAAAATTTTTTAGGGCCCTTTTGAGAGTGAGTGAACAGTGCTTAGGCACAGGTAGATCATTACGGTCTGAGGAGAATGGCACTGCTAGGAGATACAAGGGGACTGTGAGGATGAAGCGATTATCGGCGTGTCCTGAGTGCTAGATGTGGATTCCTTCATTCTACATTACCGTTACACAGGCGCCTGCGGCGCCTTAAAAAGACTTACAGTAACACACAAACATTACATATACTGAGCGAACGCCAAAATTTGTCATAATACACATGCGACACAATAGAGGTCCAGTGGCTTAGGAGAAGGGAACAAAGTGAAAAAATCATAAATCAAGTAAGTTTTTGCTAATTGTTAAAGATATGAAAATATTATCAAATCTTTATGAAATGTTGTCTAGGGCTTTTTTATCTATCAAACAAACAGAACATCGCAGAGTTTTAAAGGTATCTGTGTTAATTTCATGCTTTTTTTCATTTGATGAAGGTACATGTTTCGGTGATAAGTAAATTTGAGTAAATTAGTATCCGTAGTGATGTCAATCCTGCTAAAAGTTTGTGTAGATTCTCAGATATAGTTGAGCTATCATCTTAACCCTTATCATTCTCTGCATGTGTGTCGATTTTCTTATATTGAGGTCCAACATTTGTTTTGAATTTTCCAAAGTTTTCATAAAATCATAACTTAAGTTACATGTTGACCATACGTGTGGCGCTTTTAAAAATGGCAGGTTCCGAAAAGAATTTACCACAGAACATGTGCTCCAAATTGTCGTTGGTTTGGCGCATTAGTTTTGAAATTATCCTGACAATGGAAACGCGCATGCACGGAAACGTTATTTTAAGAAAACGTCCTTGAATGTTTTGTATGAGATGTGTGCACTGGTTGACTGAATAAAGCAAATCCTTTAATAGATGGACCAGTGAAATGAGTTCTTTTATGATGTGTCCCATGGAACTGGTTGCACGTGCCTCATGAAACGGAGCAATTTGCAAAGTAAATGAAGTCTCTATGTCAACTACCAATCTAGATACAATATTTTGAAGTTTACATACATAATGAGCATGAAAATAAATAAGATAAATAAGTTTAACAGCATCTCTTAGCATCTGTTCATAACTGCAGTTGTCACCATGAGGCATAACTGCATGTGCGTTTCTCAAATAATTTGATGCAATCCAGACATAATTAACATGCTCAGCGACTGCTAGCTCAATTTTTAGAATAAACATAATTTATATTGATCGTTATCTGGCAAGGAGCTTTGCATACGGATCACAGACAAACTTGCCGATATCAGCTGCTCTGACCTAATAAAACTATAACAATGGACAACCGTTAAAACATTTTATGTAAGCACTTTATGAGATAATGGTTAAAGCGAGTGTAAAGTTAGGAAAACCATTTCCTTGCACTTAATTGTTTCTCCAGATGGCTCAATGTGTTTCCGCCTAATGCTTAGCCACCGCTTGAGACCGATGCACAAAACTCAACCTCCATATCTGTGGAGATGGCTCTAATTCCTGGGTGACATGGCTTTCGGGCAACTGTTCTGTGTCGCACACTGGAAGAGCTGGGGGCCACACATGGTACTATTATTCCTAGAGACATCAGAGGGTTAATCAGGCCGACATGAACAACTGAAGCTGTACTTCAAAGAAACGTACGACTAGGAAAGAAACAAGGCTGCCATTGCAAGGTTTTTTTTCGAATGGAATGGGTCGCATAATTCAAGAGGTCGCAGGTGGTGGGAGTACTGTATGGTGCATTCGATGTATACTTGAAACCCGTTGAAAACTATTCCACGCATACAATAAAGGGTCTAAATGATATTTTTAGCCTACTATAGGATGTGTAACACAATCCAACTCGGCATAACAATTTGCTCACTGATACAAACTTATATTTAACAGAACGTTTGTGTCTACCAACTCGACATAACAATATGCTCACCGATACAAACTTATATTTAACAGAACGTTCGTGTCTACCAACTCGACATAACAATATGCTCACCGATACAAACTTATATTTAACAGAACGTTCGTGTCTACCAACTCGACATAACAATATGCTCACCGATACAAACTTGTATTTAACAGAACGTTCGTGTCTGCCAACACGACACAACAATATGCTCACCGATACAAACTTATATTTAACAGAACGTTCGTGTCTACCAACACACTCCACCAACACACTCCACCAACACACTCCACCGACACACTCCACCAACACACTCCACCAACACACTCTACTAACACACTCCACCAACACACTCCACCAACACACTCCACCAACACACTCCACTAACACACTCCACCAACACACTCCACCAACAAGCTCCACCAACACACTCCACCAACACACTCCACCAGCACACTCCACCAACACGCTCCACCAACACACTCCACCAACACACACAACCAACACACTCCACCAACACACTCCACCAACACACTCCACCAATATACTACACCAACAAAATCCACCAACACACTCCACCAACACACTCCACCAACACACTCCATCAGCACACTCCACCAACACACTCCACCAACACACTCCACCAACACACTCCACCAACACACTCCACCAACACACTCCACCAACACACCACATCCTCATAATAATTAGCATCAGCACTCTCAATCACAGACTCAACCTTGCTACCGTTCCTGGATTCAGGAGCTGTCACCGCCTCTGTGCCTATGGCAGCCGGCTAACCCTCACACTAGGGCTAGTAGAAACAATGGAAACGTTCCGTTGCTCCTATTCAGCTTAGGAGCTAATAATAGTTTATATTACACAAGCACCAACATCTTGCACTGACTAGAGACTTCCACTATCTCCTAAGTCTCAGCGATTCAGAGTCAGAACAATCACCAGCAATTCTACTCAATGAACTGGCCAGAAACTACCATCCTGAGTCCATTCGATTCACAATCCAAAGCCAGACACCAACAAGGAACGATCACCTCCTCGACGCAAGGATGATTGCTTGCTCAACAAGAGACAGACTCCACACGTCTTCTCAGCAAAGCAATCTCCTCTTAACCCCTTTTCAACCATTGATCCTTGAGACTTGCTAAGGTATATTTCCTAAGTTCCCCGTGTAATCTCAGATACCAGAGAAGCACGCAGCTGCTCGCCAGGTTTCACGCGACAAATTGTCGGTTTCAGTGTTGACTCATGAATCGCTGGGATGTCCCGTACCTCTCGCTGTTTCTTTATTTGACGTCCCTACCTCTTGTTGTTTCTCTCTAGGACGTCCCGTATCTCTTGTTGTTTCTCTCTAGGACGTCCCGTATCTCTTGTTGTTTCTCTCTAGGACGTCCCGTATCTCTTGTTGTTTCTCTCTAGGACGTCCCGTATCTCTTGTTGTTTCTCTCTAGGACGTCCCGTATCTCTTGTTGTTTCTCTCTAGGACGTCCCGTACCTCTTGTTGTTTCTCTCTAGGACGTCCCGTATCTCTTGTTGTTTCTCTCTAGGACGTCCCGTATCTCTTGTTGTTTCTCTCTAGGACGTCCCGTATCTCTTGTTGTTTCTCTCTAGGACGTCCCGTATCTCTTGTTGTTTCTCTCTAGGACGTCCCGTATCTCTTGTTGTTTCTCTCTAGGACGTCCCGTATCTCTTGTTGTTTCTCTCTAGGACGTCCCGTATCTCTTGTTGTTTCTCTCTAGGACGTCCCGTATCTCTTGTTGTCTCTCTCTAGGACGTCCCGTATCTCTTGTTGTTTCTTTCTAGGACGTCCCGTACCTCATGGTGCTATTTTCTAGGACGTCCCGTACCTCATGGTGCTATTTTCTAGGACGTCCATTACCTCTTGGTGTTATTTTCTAGGACGTCCATTACCTCATGGTGTTATTTTCTAGGACGTCCATTACCTCTTGGTGTTATTTTCTAGGACGTCCATTACCTCTTGGTGTTATTTTCTAGGACGTCCTGTACCTCTTTGTGTTATTTTCTAGGACGTCCATTACCTCATGGTGCTATTTTCTAGGACGTCCATTACCTCATGGTGTTATTTTCTAGGACGTCCATTACCTCATGGTGTTATTTTCTAGGACGTCCATTACCTCTTGGTGTTATTTTCTAGGGCGTCCATTACCTCTGTGTGTTATTTTCTAGGACGTCCATTACCTCTTGGTGTTATTTTCTAGGACGTCCTGTACCTCTTGGTGTTATTTTCTAGGACGTCCATTACCTCATGGTGTTATTTTCTAGGACGTCCATTACCTCTTGGTGTTATTTTCTAGGACGTCCATTACCTCTTGGTGTTATTTTCTAGGACGTCCTGTACCTCTTGGTGTTATTTTCTAGGACGTCCATTTCCTCATGGTGTTATTTTCTAGGACGTCCATTACCTCTTAGTGTTATTTTCTAGGACGTCCTGTACCTCTTGGTGTTATTTTCTAGGACGTCCTGTACCTCTTGGTGTTATTTTCTAGGACGTCCTGTACCTCTTGGTGTTATTTTCTAGGACGTCCATTACCTCATGGTGTTATTTTCTAGGACGTCCATTACCTCTTGGTGTTATTTTCTAGGACGTCCATTACCTCTTGGTGTTATTTTCTAGGACGTCCATTACCTCTTGGTGTTATTTTCTAGGACGTCCATTACCTCTTGGTGTTATTTACTAGGACGTCCATTACCTCATGGTGCTATTTTCTAGGACGTCCATTACCTCTTGGTGTTATTTTCTAGGACGTCCATTACCTCTTGGTGTTATTTTCTAGGACGTCCATTACCTCTTGGTGTTATTTTCTAGGACGTCCATTACCTCTTGGTGTTATTTTCTAGGACGTCCCGTACCTCTTTGTGTTATTTTCTAGGACGTCCTGTACCTCATGGTGCTATTTTCTAGGACGTCCATTACCTCTTGGTGTTATTTTCTAGGACGTCCATTACCACATGGTGTTATTTTCTAGGACGTCAATTACCTCTTGGTGTTATTTTCTAGGACGTCCATTACCTCTTGGTGTTATTTTCTAGGACGTCCCGTACCTCTTTGTGCTACTTTCTAGGACGTCCATTACCTCTTGGTGTTATTTTCTAGGACGTCCATTACCTCTTTGTGTTATTTTCTAGGACGTTCCGTACCTCTTAGTTTTTTTTTCTAGGACGTGCCGTTCCTCATAGTCTTTCTTTCTAAGAAAATCCGGTTTCTCTTGGTGTGTTATGTTTTTTCTTAGACATCTTTTCAGCCTTAATCTGTAAAGATTCTTTTCAGTATTATTTTAGTTTTGAACTTTAGCTGACGTTTTTTTTAAATATTTTGAATCTTTTAAAATTAATTTTAAATAATACTGACAACAACGATGGTGATGTAAACATCAAAAATTACAATGTCGATTACTTTGGAGTTTTATTTGAAATGTTGCAGACTGATAGGAAATGAGTGACTTTGAAATGAACACAATATTTTAGATTCTTGAGGACGTCAAATCACCTTGCCTTATTTTAAGATGTGTGTCATGCTCCAGTGCACTGTTGTCATTGTCAGTAAATATCAGGCAGCCTCTTTGCTCATGTCGTGGTTGCTGGGACTGGTCAAAATGTTACTTGCTGTTTCTGTTTCAGGATAGTCTACGATCTAGCCGAGAAGACCTTTGCCAGCTCTTGTCTTGGTTGATTAAGAACAGGTGTCATAGTTACTAGCATTCGCATCTGGTCGGCGTTGAACTTATCAGGGTCTCCGATATTACTAATAATATATCCGTTTGAGTAGAGCTTAAACACTGGTGTTTTCAAAATTTTTTGATCTAGACAGAGTTCCTTCTCCGTAGAACAGTCGACTGAGGCATATCTGTGCAGCTTGTTGGTGTTTGCTGATGCAGCCTACAAAAAAAAAAAAAAAAAAAAAAAAAAAAAAAAATATGACATACAAAAACATAGTAGTAGGAACGTAAGTCAACGTTCTTCGGTGAATGCATGTGCTTGCTTTTGTCTCCCTCACTGCAAATGCACATTTGTTTAACAGTATTCATAATTGCGCGGTTTCCACATTGGAAGTTGTTATCAATGTTACCATTGCTGACAATGGTAATATAACGCCTTGAGGTCTGCCACAGTGCGACTCTCGTGCTGTGTTTGGCGGAACAGAAATCAACTCACGCATTGATATTGAAAGACCTAGGATTATCCAAACTTGCAACCTGCGACTAGAATGGGTTGACAAAATCCAGAGGTCCAGCCTCAAGACAGTGTCTTAACTGAACACCGGTAATACCTGGGTGAAAAGAAAGAGCCGACACATTTGTCGGACCTGCAGTGGTTAGAGGAGCATGCAGCCTCTTGAGATGGCTGCTGCATGGCAGAACGGTACACATGTGAGTCTGACCTATCTACTAGGATATTGATAGGGACAATATGTACTCATCTACCACTGTTTGAACACGACGACAACGTGTGTGTGTGTGTTTTTTTTTTTTTTAAATTAAACAACCGAGGAAGATGATAATGACCACAACTACAGTAATGATGCCAAAATGGACTGACAGTTAAATGCATTTGAAAAATAATGTATAACAAAAAACATTACCATCAAATCGAATTAAGTTTTAAAAAAAAAACTTGGAAAGTCAGAGAAACATCTGGACAGATACATGTATATACTGCAGTGAGACAAAGAAGGTGGAGATTTATTAGGCACATTCTGAGAAGAAAGAATAAATTAATTACAAAACAAGCCCTGAAATAAGAAGCAAACGTCTGCGAGAAAAAGAATGTTCATGGGAAAGAGTATGTAGAACATTGTTAGAAAGCTGAAAAGGCTGCGTCGAACTCATGTCAGAAATCGAGAGAGTTGCATGCAATAGAGCAGAATTGAGGAATCGATTGTCAGCCATATGATGATGCTGACGATGATAATAACGATGTAGGTAATATTTATTATAACCACAGTGAAGACGAAAGTCGCGATAAAGACGATAGTTAGAACAATACTCGTCGGGGCAACTTACTGATGCAAACTGCATCCCAGGGAAGACGCTGTCACACTGGAAGGGATTGTAGAACATCACCAGAGTTTTCTCGTAGTGTGTAATGACATTCGAATAGCTTTTGTCATCTAGCTGCATCACTTGATGTGTTCCCAGAAACTTATTCTTATCTGGCATGCTGTTTTCATAGATGGGTTCAGGCTGAAGTTTGGGCCCCGGTGGCGGCAGATCTCTGAGGTCCTGGGGATCCCAATAGTTTTCCCAGTCTGCCTCGCCGTAGACCTCTTCCTTGTCGGCATCAGCACTCGCCTGGTGTGTGGAGGCGGCGGAGTAGCGGCGCGGCGACCGGGAAGGATTGACTTCGGTTTGAGGGGACATAGCAACATCTGGGACATATCGTGCTGGGTACTTAGGCGCTTGAGTAAGCGGAGATGTCGGAAGGTTCTGCATAAGAGAAATGAGAGTGCAAGATGTAACAGTTTCTATGGTAATAGCTAACAAACATGACGTGAGACAGTCTTCTCGTGTCCATGCTAACTGGCCGATCATGCTCAATATAATATCCTGAGTTACATCGATCACGGAAAACTGGTACGGCAAGGACTGGACGGACTTGTGAGAAAGACGAGTCAGGTTGACAGGAACACGGTAACAAATACGATACGGTAGGGAGAGTGACAATGGGAGCATTACCGGAGATGAACAGAGGGTATTAGGGTGATAAGTGCTTGGTATAATGGAGATAAGCACCAGCTGTTAGGGTCATTTTCGTGTTTGGAATCTGTATTTAATTGAGAATTTACACATGTTCTATTGATTCATAGAGCCGGACTTGTCTTCAAAAATTACCTTGTCTCCTAGGTCGACTCAGCCTGAGTGGGTACCGGGTGCAGTCCCGGGAAGTAAAGGCAGCTGGCGTGATGTTGACCACATTACCCACTTTGTGCCGTTGGTCATTAAAATGTAGGTCTAGCCCTATATGCCCTATACGCCTAAAGGCGTGGAAAAGGGTCCTTAACTTTATTTACTATTGATTCAAGTGTAAAAGCGTTAACAGTGCAGGAGTTAATACTCAGACCCCGACTTTGTCCATATAGACCAATACACGAAGGGGAAGGAGGTCACAATGAGCCGAGTTGAAGCCCTCGAATAATCGGCGTGTTATCCGTGTATCTACATGGTAAAAAACTCGTACACACAGAATAAACTCGGGCAGGTCTCAGTCAGAAGACAGTTGCTTGGCAAGCTTCCCTACTGTGAGGACGTTTTATATTCCTCATTTTTATTATGGCTCGCGACTGTATGTCGTGACGACTTAGTGCGATTTGCAGTCTAAAGCCAGTTTGCTATGTAGTATTTTATAAAACAGTTTTTTTTCTTTCAACCGCATGATTCGGACTGTGTCCGTTTCTACTGCTAGCCCGGTTGTTATTGACTAGCCGACTTGTTTGTAAGCATGTGAGGTGGGATGTCAACTCGTGGGTCTTTTGATCTCTGAGATTTTTTGTCTCTGTCCCCAGAGCATCGCTTGTTATGAAATCTAAGGATGTTTCTCAAACAAGCTCTTAGGTGCCATTTCATTTTGCTGATGACTTTGTGTAGTGCTTTTTCCATCCTCATGGTTTTTTTTTTTTTTTTTTGTGGGGGGGGGGGGGGGGGGGGGCGTGCAGGTAAGTACGAACGTAATGTCGAGAAAGCCGTGTAACGGTATTCCTCGTGTTGTGTCTATATTGTCTCATTATAACGAAAACCTAAGAGGAAAATATTATTCTCAAGCAAAACAGCCGCAATGATGATCTAAAATATGTACACTGTACAGATGACAATCTAAAATATGAACACTGTACACATGACAATCTAAAATATGTACACTGCACACATGACACTCTAAAATATGTACACTGTACACATGACAATCTAAAATATGTACACTACACACATGACACTCTAAAATATGTACACTGTACACATGACAATCTAAAATATGTACACTCTAAACTTGACAATCTAAAATATGTACACTGTACACATGACAATCTAAAATATGTACACTGTAAACTTGACAATCTAAAATATGTACACTGTGAACTTGACAATCTCTTTACAAAATAATGACTACACTGAAAAATACTAAAACTGCTGCTCGATACTGTGTTCACGGGGAGCCGACCTGGTGAAGCGGTTAGACGCTCGCCTGCGGATTGGAAGGTCCTCGGTTCAGTTCCTTGCGTAGCCGGTCATTTTTCCAACAAACAAACAAAAATAACCTGGGCTCCCAGGTTGACCCAGGCTTGGGTGGGTCACAGGGACAGTTGTGGGAAGTAAATGCTGCCGGCAGGATACCTACCATATCCTCCATTAAGTGCTGATTGCCCTATAATTATAGGACTAGCCTTATGTGCCCAATACGACTGACGCTTCTATAGTTCGTAAAAGGTCTGCAAAATCGAGATATAGAAGTGTGAAGAAAATAAGTAAAAGCACTCCTAATGAACAAACAAACACAAAAGCCCCATCAATAATGAGTAAAACATGATATATTTAAATGCATCGTTACAAGTTCCGGTGTGATATCATCGACTACTGGTCGCCAACAGAACAGTTTTATAAGGAAAGTTGAGAACACAATAAAGAAGACAACAAACCGACAATATAGAGGGGCGGTCGTAAGCCATTGCTGGTGTTTGTCGTGCAGCTCTTTTGTCTGATGGGGTGTTCAATCTGGGGAGGTATGTCACAAGTTATTATCTGAAAACAGTGAAGTAAAAACAAAGATGTGGCTACAACTACAGGTGGTCTATCTCCAGCCCAGAGCCTGACTTGTCCAACATACATAATATGCACCGTTACAACAAGATGATGTGTTATCTCGGGATTTTCGGTTTTGGCGAATGTGGCTGTAGGTGAGATAGTGTTGACACTAGTTGGTTCAGACACAGACGCGTGCACATACAAAGAAGGAAAAAGAAGGAAAGAAAGAGAGAGAGAGAGAGAGAGAGAGAGACAAACAGAGAGACTAAGAGTGAAAGAAAAATACAAAGAAAGAAATAGAGACAGAGATAGATGCAAGAATATTGTTGTCTCACACACACACATACACTCAAGCATTCACACACAAAGAAAGAGACAGAGAGAGAGAGAGACAAAGTCAGAACAGAAAGAAACAGTGAGAGAGGCAGAAAGAAAGACAGAGGATCATAGAGAGACAGAAACAGAGACACAAGACTATTTTTGAAACTGGTGTGGCTCAGACACACATGCTTTCACACACAAAGAGTGGGAGAGAGAGAGAGAGAGAGAGAGAGAGAGAGAGAGAGAGAGAGAAAGGGAGAGAGAAGAGAGAGAGAGAAGAGAAAGATGAGAGGAGGGATAGATAAGTTCGATAACTAATTCGAAGAAAAAAGTTTGTGTTAAAAAGAATAAAAACATAATCAACCAAGGAACATCGTAAAATGGTTAACGAAATGAGGCGCAGAAAGGGCAGGTGTGTTGGTCAATGCTAAGATAAAAAGATATAAATGGCTGCCGAGGCTCCTAGCCAACTGCAGGCGGACATTGTTGGTCACTCTGTCCATAGTATCTGCTTTTGCGTCTCAGAAACCATACCTGGACGGCCTCCATACTCTTGTTTATTTGTTTGTTTACATTCTAAGATTCACAACCAGATAATAGTTGTAGGTTAACGTAACGTTTTTGTTTTCTGCTTTGAATGTGTCCTGAGAGAGACACTATGGCATTGCACACACACATACACACACACACATACACACACAGATACACACACAGACACACATATACACACACATACACACACATACACACATACACACATACACACATAAACACACATACATACACACACATACACACATACACACACGTACACTCACATACACACACACACATACACATATACACACATGCATACACACATACACACATACACACACATGCATACATACACACACATACACACATACACACACATACACACATTCACACACATACACACACAAACATACACACATACACACACATACACACACATACACACACATACACACTCATACACACACATACATACACACACATACACAAACATATACACACACATACATACACACACATACACAAACATATACACACACATACACACACATACACATATACACACACATACACATACACATACATATACACATACACACACATACACATAGATACACACACACATACACACACATACACACACATACACACTACTCATTCACACACATACACACGCATACACATACACACATACACACAAATACACACTCACGTACACATACACACATACACACGCATAGACATTTTAAAATGAGACTGACTGGGATAAACTTTCTGCAAAACTAGACAGAATGCAGCTAGAACAAAGCACATATGAGACTTTACAGAAGAACATCTGGTAGGAAGGCAAGGTGAAGTCCAAGAAAGAGACGGATACATGGTGTTGCTGAAATTTGCAAAGCGATGAACAAATCAATCGCTTAAGCAACACGAGAAGCGCAAGATAAATAGAGAAAGCCGCGACACTGGGCTACAACTTGGTATCAGTGAGACGACACAAACCACAACACTGAGTTACAGACGTCTCAATGAGACGACAAAACTAAGACACTGGGTTACAGACGTCTCAATGAGACGACAAAACTACGACACTGGGTTACAGACGTCTCAATGAGACGACAAAACTACGACACTGGGCTAAAGCATGGTAATAGTGAGAAGACAAAATCACGACACTGGGCTAAAGCATGGTAACAGTGAGAAGACAAAATCACGACACTGGGCTAAAGCATGGTAACAGTGAGAATACAAAACCACGACACTGGGCTAAAGCATGGTAACAGTGAGAAGACAAAATCACGACACTGGGCTAACGCATGGTAACAGTGAGAAGACAAAATCACGACACTGGGCTAAAGCATGGTAACAGTGAGAAGACAAAACCACGACACTGGGCTAAAGCATGGTAACAGTGAGAAGACAAAATCACGACACTGGGCTAAAGCATGGTAACAGTGAGAAGACAAAACCACGACACTGGGCTAAAGCATGGTAACAGTGAGAAGACAAAATCACGACACTGGGCTAAAGCATGGTAACAGTGAGAAGACAAAATCACGACACTGGGCTAAAGCATGGTAACAGTGAGAGGACAAAATCACGACACTGGGCTAACGCATGGTAACAGTGAGAAGACAAAATCACGACACTGGGCTAAAGCATGGTAACAGTGAGAAGACAAAATCACGACACTGGGCTAAAGCATGGTAACAGTGAGAAGACAAAATCACGACACTGGGCTAAAGCATGGTAACAGTGAAAAGACAAAACCAAGACACTGGGCTAAAGCATGGTAACAGTGAAAAGACAAAATCACGACACTGGGCTAAAGCATGGTAACAGTGAGAAGACAAAACCACGACACTGGGCTACAGCCTGGTATCATTGAGACGGCAAAACAACGACCTTATGCTGCAACCTGGTATCAGTGAGACGACAAACTACGACCTTATGCTACAACCTGGTATCAGTGAGACGATAAAACTACGACACTGGGCTACAACCTGGTATCAGTGAGACGACACAAACTCGACACTGGGTTACAGACGAATCAATGAGACGACAAAACTACGACACTGGGCTATAGCATGGTAACAGTTAGAAGACAAAACCACGACACTGGGCTACAGCCTGGTATCAGTAAGACGGCAAAACAACGACCTTATGCTACAACCTGGTATCAGTTATACGATAAAACTACGACACTGGGCTACAACCAGGTATTAGTGAGGCGGCAAAACCACAACACTGGGTTACAGACTGGTATCAATGAGACGACAAAACTACGACACTGGGCTACAGCCTGTGATATCAGTGAGAGGACGAAGAAAGAACGAAGAAGACACTGATGTGGTAAAGATTTACCAGATAGGGCAGTTTGAGTTAAAAACTAGTTATTAGCTCACAGTCGCTACGTCAAGTAGTTCAAAATATGAGCTGTCGGTGTAAAAACAAGTTGAGAAACATTCTTCTGAGCATCAGGTATTTCCGATGTATAGTGACGATAATGTCTAATGAGAAATAAAGCAATTTTTAGTGAAGGATATTTTCAATGAAGCTGCAGCGGCACGACTGAGTTGATTCAGTCAGACATACCTTTGTGTTGAAGTTAAAGATCAGCAAGCGGATGCTGACCACTCAGGGCCGTTGGTAGGCCATACTGAATGTCCAGAGACAATGTGTGTACATCCAGTGATGCCACGCACTGTGGTTGAGCTCGGTGCCCAGTGGTGCTCATGGTACACTATGTATCATCATCATCATCATCATCAGGTGCCTTGCCAATCATTCCTCTCTATAATCCACGATCTCCTGCAGCATGTATCAGTTCGTGTGCAGACACACCTCCATGCCATGCAATAAGACTGTCAAGCTTCTCTCGTTGTCAGTGGTCACAAAATGTTTCATTTTCCTTCTTCTCATAACATGGCTGAAAAATGATGTCTCCTTCTGATGTCTGTGATAAGTTGTCTTCAGGCTTTGCCTCTTTCTAAATCTCTTGGTTTCTCTTTTTAGCTGTCCAAGGTATTCTAAGCATTCTTCTGTAAAACCATATCTTTCAGGCCTCAAGAAATTGTTTGGCCTGCCTACCGATTGTCCAGGATTCACAGCCATATCGTAAAACTGGATGTATGTAGCACGCACGAATTATTTTTCTAACTCTCAATGAAAAGGATATGTTGCACAAGATATTCTTTATTTTATAAAGTGCAGTTTTCCTGTCCTATTCTGTTTCTTATTTCAGTAATGCATCTTCAGTCTCATGTTATCCATGTGCCCAGATACTCAAATGTATGTACTTGCCCTAAAATAACACCACTACTTTTATCACACTTTTAGGAATAATTCCTTTCTATGTACACTATGTGTACGTGTGGGAATAGCTCTGCCTCACCTCAGTAAACATCATCATCGTGTGTCACGGCAGTGTAGAGGTGTTGTGGTCGTGTGAGGTAGGAGAAAGGTTTCATCAGCACCTCACTGTTAGTGCTACAGAGACTAATTGACTTGAAATGGTTCACAATCAAGCCATGCGTATTGTTTTGCGATGTACAAGAGATACTTCCTATCTAGCAATCAGTTTTAAACCATGAACCAAATGATGAGGATATGGAGGGCTCGAGCAAACCTTCGAATAGGCGCTGATAAGAAACACCCACTGCATCGAAAGCATTTCAGGGGAAAAAGCGTCAGGCTGAAGAGGGGAAAATCATTGCTAGGTCGGGTATATGATGTTATCAAGCAAATATTCAGTCTAACCCACATCACCCCTGCTGCACTAAGAACTTCGATAATCGTTGCCCTAAACTTCATCTCTGTACCAGGTTGAGCGGCAGCTGAAGGGAACGAGCTTGCAGATGATCTTGCACACACCGCAGTTGCTATGGCTGGTCCAGGACTGGACAGAAGTGATGTTTTAAATGCCATGCACATCAGTTACCGTGACGACGAGCGCGGCAAAGGACATGACCTCCGTATCCATTTCTAGACTGATGGGCATAGGGGTGCTGCCTGGAGCTGCAAGAAATGAACATTTCACTAAGGGGACAAGACGTTTTATTACCCA